TGGTTTCACTCACCTAATTAAACTCCCGGAGGATATTAGGGACCATGGTAAACATCTCGGCAATTTTTATTTTCGGGCGAAAAAAGGTCAAAAAATTCCAAAATTAAAGGCTATTATTATCCACGCTTTGTGAGGAATTTTTGAGGTTACGAGGCCCGGTGGCGAAAAGTGTTGAGATTCTAGGGAATACATCTTAAGGTCATATAATGTCGTTTGGAACCATATATGACCATTAAATGATGTCATAAATGTCCAAGGTAGGCTTGAGTTCACAAAATCGGTGCAAGTTGCGAATTGGTAAATTGACGGTTTTAAGGCAAATTAGATGGTTCCACCCACCTAATTGGACTCCCTGAGGGTATTAGGGACCATAGTAAACATCTCAGCAATTTTTGATTCCGGACGAAAAAAGTAAAAAAAAAATTCAAAATTGAAGGCTATTATCCACTTTTTTTTGGAAATTTTTTACGTTACGGCGGGCCCGGTGGCAAAAAGTTTTAAGACCCTATAAGGATACATAATTGGGTCATGTAATGCCATTCGGAACCATATATGACCATTAGTTGATGTCATAAATAATGTCCGTGGTATGCTTGAGTTCACAAAATCGGTGCAAGTTGCGAATGGGTAAAATGATCGTTTTAAGGGAAATTGGATGGTTCCACCCACCCAATTGGACTCCCAGAGGGTATTAGGGACCATGTTAAACATCTCGGCAATTTTTATTTTTCGAGCAAAAAAAAAAGTCAAAAAATTCCAAAATTGAAGGCTATTACCTTTTTTTAAAGGTTTTTTAGGTTATGGGGCCCGGTGGCGAAAAGTGTTGAGACCCTAAGGGATACATTTTAGGGTCATATAATGATGTTTGAAACCATATATGACCATTAAATGATCTCATAAATGTCCGTGGTAGGCTTGAGTTCACAAATTCGGTGCAAGTTGCGAATTGGTAAATTGACCGTTTCAAGGCAAATTGGATGATTCCACCCATCCAATTGGACTCCCTGAGGGTATTAGAGACCATGGTAAACATCTCGGCAATTTTTATTTCAGAAAGAAAAAAGTCAAAAAAAATTCCAAAATTGAAGGCTATTATCCATGCTTTTTGAGGAATTTTTGAAGTTACGGGGCCCGGTGGAGAAAGTGTTGAGACCCTAGGGGATACATCTTAGGGTCATATAATGCCGTTTGGAACCATATATGACCATCAAATGAAGTCATAAATATCTGTGGTAGGCTTGAGTTCACAAAATCGGTGCAAGTTGCTAATTGGTAAATTGACCATTTTAAGGCAAATTGGATGGTTCCATCCACCCAATTGGACTCCCGGTGGATAATAGGGACCATGGTAAACATCTCGGGATATTTTATTTCCGGGCGAAAAAAGTCGAAAAATTCCAAAATTGAAGGCTATTATCCAAACTTTTTGAGGAATTTTTGAGGTTATGGGGCCCGGTGGCAAAAAGTGTTGAGACCCTAGCAGATATATCTTAGGGTCATATACTGCCGTTTGGAACCACATATGACCATTAAATAATGTCATAAATGTCCGTGGTAGGCTTGAATTCGCAAATCCGGTGTAGGTTGCGAATTGGTAAATTGACTGTTTTAAGGAAAATTGGATGGTTCCACCCACCCAATTGGACTCCCGGTGGGTATTAGGGACCATGGTAAACATCTTAGCAATTTTTATTTCCAGGCGAAATAAAGTCAAAAATTTTTAAAATTGAAGGCTATTATCCACGATTTTTGAGGTTACAGGGCCGGTGGCGAAAAGTGTTGAGACCCTAGGGTATACATCTTAGGGTCATATAATCCCTTTTGAAACCATATATGACCATTATTTGATGTCTTAAATGTCCATGGTAGGCTTGAGTTCACAAAATCGGTGCAAGTTGCGAATTAGTAAATTGATCGTTTTAAGGCCAATAGGGTGGTTCCACCCACCTAATTGGACTCCCGGAGGGTATTAGGGACCACGGTAAACATCTCGGCAATTTTTTATTTCGGGTATTAGAGGCCAGTATCCACTTTTTTTTTTTGGAAATTTTGACGTTACAGGCCTGGTGGCGAAAAGTTTTGAGACCCTAGGGGATACATCATTGGGTCATATAATGCCGTTTGGAACCATATGACCATTAATTGATGTCATAAATGTCCGCGGTAGGCTTGAGTTCACAAAATCAGTGCAAGTAGCGAATTGGTAAATTGACTGTTTTAAGGCAAATTGGATGGTTCCACCCACCTAATTGGACTCCCAGAGGATATTAGGGACCATGGTAAACATCTCGACAATTTTTGATTTCGGGCGAAAAAGTCAAAAAATTCCAAAATTAAAGGCTATTATCCACGTTTTTTGTGGAATTTTTGACGTTACGGGCCCGATGGCGAAAAGTTTTGAGACCCTTAGGGATACATCTTAGGGTCATATAATGCCGTTTGGAACCATATATGACCATTGAATGATGTCATAAATGTCCGTGGTAGGCTTGAGTTCACAAAATCGGTGCAAGTTGCGAATTGGTAAATTGATCGTTTTAAAGCAAATTGGATGGTTCCACCCACTCAATTGGACTCCCGGAGAATATTAGAGACCATGGTAAATATCTCGGAAATTTTTATTTACGGGCGAAAAAAGGTCAAAAAATTTCAAAATTGAAGGCTATTATCCACTTTTTTGAGGAATTTTTTAGGTTACAGGGCCTGGTGGCGGAAAGTGTTTGGAAACTTCAATCTTGATTAGTTTTTGTTTATTGTTTCCAAGGATTGAATTTTTACGTTATAGAGTGCTAATTATTTTTCAAGGATTGAACATCAATCTACTGCCTCCGTTACAGGTTATGTGCAACAATTAGACATTTTTCCTCTCTGCTTTATGTCAAATCATTGCACATAACTTGTAACGGAGGTAGTATAAATTTTCAATGTATAATAAGTTGGGGTTATCTTTCAAAAAAAATAAAACATAAAAAATTAATAATAAAATTTGGGGTTAAAAGAATACAGAGTGTAGAATTATGAATTGAATGGATCTTTCCTCAAAAAAAAAAAAAAAAAAAAAAAAAAAAAAAAATTAATGGATCAATAAGTTGATTTTTTCATAATTCTTATAGGCATAGTTGTTTGGTCGCTCGATTAAAGTTCCGCATTTTAATTTGTGATTTACTAATCGTCTTGATCAGCAACAAATCAAGTAGCAAAATGATAGGCATGTTTACAGTCATACATAGTATATAAAATCAATATTTTGATAATTTCTTTGAAGCATATATAATGATATTATGATCAATTCTTCTTCTTTTTTTCCTTCTTTTTTAATCCTTAATTTTTAATTTTCATTTACTGAGAACCATTTGATCAATTCTTGCTCATGAGCTTTTAGATGGTGACATTGCAAATAAATTTTAATTACTTATCCACTATAAATTGTACAACATCTTTAGCATTATTTGATATATTTTCCAAGAGCCTTAATATATCTTTTTATTTGTCTTAATTTCTAAAAACAAAAGATGTGTACAAGTTTGTTTAAAAGTAATACACTTGCAACATTTTCATGCCTCATCATAGCAACCCTAGCATTAGTCCAAATATGCCTTGCACAAAATTCTCCCCAAGACTACCTAGATGCCCATAACGCCGCAAGGGCGGAAGTGGGCGTTGTAAACATAGAGTGGGACAGCACATTGGCATCCTATGCCAGACGATATGCCCTGAGCCGGGTTGACGATTGTGCCCTCATACGTTCCAACGGGCCCTATGGAGAAAACCTCGCCGTAAGTAGCAACCCGTTGTTCTCTGGCACAGACGCCGTAGAACTATGGTTGCAACAGAAGGTTGAGTATGATTATAGTTTGAATACTTGTGCAGTTGGTACAGATTGTTTGACCTATACTCAACTGGTTTGGCATGATTCGGTTAATGTTGGGTGTGCTAGGGTTCAATGTGTTAATGGATGGATTTTTGTTATGTGCAGCTATAATCCACCAGGCAACATAATTGGCCAAAGGCCTTTCTAAGCCTTATTATATATCAATTAAATATAAGTTGTGAATTTATAAATAAATAAAGCCGCGGCAGTGGTGGTGGTGGTGGTGTGGTTGTTTGTTCATTGGGATTATTGTAAAAATCCTTTACAATTTGCATGAAAATGTATATCATGTATAATTTAATTTCCTGTTTTCTTATATCAAATGACTCAAATCTAACCATTATGGTTAGAATGACAATATTGCTATATGCTCCAATCCATTATTGTTGTCCTGTTGAACTAATTAAGTGTTGACTCATTTGGTAAGACTCTTACATTAAATTTTAGAGATTCCTTTATTTTCCCCTTCACTCTCAAGTGCCTAGCTCACAAATACTAGACAAAAAAAAAAAAAAAAAAAAAAAAAAAAAAAAAAAAAAAAATCTTGAGGGTTGAGGTCTAGTCAAAGTCCTCTATACCATAAAAAAAATGTTTTGTTGACAAAGACAAACAATATGTGGCCGAACTAAAATTTCAAAATTTAATAGTATTACTTATTAATAATTAGAAAAATTTACGGTTAACTATACAAATTAACAAACGTGATAAAAGAATTATGTCATTTAATTAATAATGGAGGAAGTTTGTTTAAAAGTAAGCTTAGAAATGTAGACAAGAGTTAGAAATAAGAAAATAATACAAGTGAGTAAAATTAGATGATAAAGATATAATGAAATAGTATTGAATATTTTGTTAAAAAAAATAGTGTTAAATATTTCCATTTTAAAAGTGTTGCTTTTAAAAAAATTAGAGGGATAAGCAGTAGAATGACATACTTAGAACCGTCAATAACCATAATAACGAAATCACAAAAAAAAAAAAAAATCTTAAAAATAATCACACAAATCTTGAACGCAAAAACTAGTTGGATGATTTCATTTTTTCCTGGTGCTATCCTATCTAACTTAGGCTTTGAATTTTCTTCATCTAACTTTCAACACTTAGCTAAGAATATTCAAGAACTCCCTCCTATATAATCTCCCATCTCATGGACATAAAATCCATCCCGAATATTTATTACACATCTCTTTGTAACATTAGTAACAATCCAAAAAAAAAAAATGCATTCACTCAAAAACCATGCAACCTTTTCATGCTTTGTCATAGCAATCCTAGCCTTTGCACAATTATGTTACGCGCAAAATTCACCACAAGACTATGTCGATGCCCACAATGCAGCTAGGGCTGCCGTGGGTGTTGGTAACATACAATGGGATGACCAAGTCGCGGCCTACGCCCAACAATATGCCAACCAACGAATTAATGATTGTGCTTTGCAGCATTCTGGAGGACCTTACGGAGAGAATATCGTAGCTGGTCCGGGTGATGCTAGTGGCACCGATGCAGTAAAAATTTGGGTTGATGAGAAGGCTAACTACGATTATAATTCAAATACTTGCGCTCCTAATAAGGTGTGTGGACATTATACTCAAGTGGTTTGGCGTGACTCCGTTCGTCTTGGATGTGCTAGGGTTCCATGTAACGGTGGTGGGAAATAAGGGATCCAACTTGCTTGGGATGAGAATCGAACCCCTCTCACAGGGTTGGAAGGAGGACCTTCAACCACTAGGTCAACCTTGATTCTCAACGTATTTTATATATTTAGAAGTGGAAAGAATTATTAGATGACCATATCTATACCAGTATACCTCTATCATTAAAATAAGGAGTTTTTTTTTTTTTTTTTTTTTTTTTTTTTTTTTTTTTTTAAGTATAGTTCAAATAATTTAAACTCGCTAAAGCTGGAGTAATATTCTCTACTCCATACTTAATAATGTATGTGGAATAAATCTTATAAACACCTATGTTGGCCATGTAAGGTTTGTTCTTTGGGATGAACAAATAAATAAATTGTAATTTATTTACAATTACAGTTTATAAATTCATGCATCACTTTGTATGAGAGTAACGTTTATATAGAGCCTTGCTTAAATTCAAAATATTTGAGAATAATAAATAAAAAATAATAAAAAACCTACATACATTATTTGACAGTATTTGTGAGTATTATTTTCTCAAAAAAAAATATATAAAAAAAAATTAATTAAAAAATTGTGAGTATTATGGTTATTGCGAGTAGAAATGAAACCCCTAACTTCAGTTAAGCTCATGAGAGGTCAGGGATGGAGAGTGCGTGATATACTATAGATGTAAAATACGATCGAGCTTAAGTTAGATATTTAAATCGAAATACCACACCTCACCAAATTAGAAGAACTCAAACTACTATACTATACACTAGATTAAATCATGAGTGAGTATAATCAAATTAGAATACCTTATCCTAGGAGAAGAGAACAATATATAAATTCTTTATTAAAATTATTATGGAATTAATTTCACAATATTCTATTATTTTAATTTCAGACGAAAGGAGTAATTGGAAGTAAAAAAATGCACGTCTATTTGAGTAGCATATATATGCTCATGCATAACTATCATATAAGGGTTATATTACACGAGACATTGTTATATACTCCCAGGTGTACCGTACACCCAACTAATTCAAGATTAGTTTTTGCTATAAAAACGAGAACAAATTACTTATGGGTGAACGATGCACCCGAATGTATATAACAATATCCAATACAAGATCATAGCCTCTTTTTGAGAAAAGTAGTGTTCTTATAGCAGCAGCCCTATCTATATCAATCCCGCTGATAATTTCATTTTGGCACAAATTTTACATTAATTGTGTACTATTCAACGGAAATAAGCATCAATTATATCGTTTTTCTATCATAATGTGAACGGGGATAAACATTAATTGTGTACTATTCAACGGGGATAAACATCATCTAAAGATGTGGCCATAATATGTATTAGGATCACTTCAATTCCCCCCCCCCCCTTTTTGTAATTTTTAATTTTTTTTAATTTTAAAAATGAACATTTTCCTTTGTATATCTAAATTACTACTGTAATAATTCATTTTTTGACGTAAAATGTATGTAGATAATAAATTATATATGCACAATAATTCTGTCTTTTTGATTGGTAAAGTACCTAAATTCTAAGAATAATCACACAAAACTTAGCCACAAGAAATACTTTTTCTATATATCCTTCAAAAAAAATAAAAATAAAAGAAATAGTTTTCTAGACTAAACGGTTTGAATTATCATCCATAATAAGTTAGAAGTCTAGGAAGTTTGCATATTTTCTAGATACCAGCCTAACTTTGGCTCTATACTCAATAGAAATTTCAAAAGCATCCCACTATAAAATCCCCTAATTCTTTCACTTAAAATTCATCCAAGTAATAATAATAATAATAATCACCACTTTCATTTGTTACATTAAAAAATTACAAAAAATAAAAATAAAAAATGAATATGCCCAAAAACCTAGCAATATTTTTATGCTTTATCATAGTAACCCTAGCAATTGGCCAAATATGCCATGCACAAAATTCACCACAAGATTATGTTAATGCCCACAATGCAGCTAGGGCTGCAGTGGGTGTTGGAAACATACAATGGGATGACCAAGTCACGGCGTACGCCCAACAATACGCCAACCAAAGAATGGCTGATTGTGCTTTGCCGAAGGTGGCGGTGACTTCACCGGCACAGATGCAGTAAAACTGTGGGTGAATGAGAAGGCCGATTACGACTATAACACCAATACTTGTGCTTCTGGTAAGGTGTGTGGACATTATACTCAAGTGGTTTGGCGTAACTCGGTTCGTCTTGGTTGTGCTAGGGTTCAATGTCAAAATAATGGATGGTTTTTTGTTACTTGCAACTATGATCCACCGGGCAATTTTGCAGGCCAGAAACCTTACTAGAGTTTTTACTAAAGCTTGATGTGTATCAAATATAGAATAATGTATGTATTTCAGCTCACTAGAGCATTGATGATACTCAATAAGAAGCTATACATGCTGAATTAATCAATATATGTAACGTTTTTTACGTAAGGTTTGTTGATTAAATAGAAACAATTAAATAAAATAGTAGTAACATTCTTGATTAAGACTCAAAGTATTAAAAAAACGAAGGAAGTATATGTTTTTGGATTTGTACGTGCTGATGACCCAGGTTGATGTATCATCTCAACTTTTGTCAGCATTAACCATAAAATGTAACCAAATGCAATGTTTACAGTTACTTCTAATAGAATCCATAGTTTCAATAAGAATTTTTACTAATTGAATCGATCAAAGATTTCAAATATACATTATAGTATATTACTGAATCAAATAGAAACTCAACAATATATAAATCTATTAACTTCGGGCTAAAGGAGTACTAATATCAGAAAATAAGGAATGTATACGATAGCATTCAAAATTTCACCCATTTAATAATTCATGAACCAATTAGTGAAAAGAAGGCATTGCACGTCCCTTGAAATAGTATATGCATAGCCTCACCACACAACTTTTATTTGTTTTTGTGACTTGTATAAATTAATTTGAGAAGTACTTGTTATTCTTATAGCATTTGCCATATCCTTTTCATTATCTCACAATTTATTTTTGGGACGAAGCTTTTATTAACTGTACTAATATTTACTACGTAACTCGTAGAAAACTCTACACAAATTAGTATCTCTTTAACTAATTAATTAGCCTACGTTTGCAATCGTACGTGTTGCACGTTATTACTAGCAACAATAAAATTATCTACCATCACTTTTACTCCAATAAGATGGCATAGTAGTACTCTCTACTCCAAATATATATACGATGTAACAAATTACATTTATAACGGTGAATTTGAAAGGGTTTGTAGGGGGATGATCATAATGTATGCCTTTAAGAGAGTTACAAGGGTGAATGATAATATAGATGATATTTGATCTTAGATATTGAATTTCTCAAGACTTTGACTAACTAAGCAAGTTGATCATCCACAAAAAATACTACTCTTGACGACTTAAGTGGCTAAATGGCGTGGATAAGATTATAAGTTTGGAATACTTGGAATTTTATTAATTAATTGTTTGTACATTTTGTTGATGCTTGTCATTCTTAAACTTTGAATATTCTACCTTGGAAAATAATGCCACCACCCTTACAAAGAAATTTATGCATCTCCCCCCTATAAAAACCCCATAAAACCATGCACTACTCATCAAATATAACTTATATACATCAACTCTTTATTATAAGTTTAGTAACAACCCTAAAAAAATGTTGTCCAAAAGCCTAATTTTTGCTTGCTTCATTTTTGCAACCCTAGCCCTTACCCATATGTGCCATGCACAAAATTCACCACAAGACTATGTTAACGCCCACAATGCGGCCAGGGCCGCAGTGGGCGTTGGAAACATACAATGGGATAATCGAGTGGCGCAATACGCCCAACAATATGCCAACCAAAGAAAAGGTGACTGTGCTTTGCGACACTCCGGCAGTAAACAGTATGGGGAGAATATTGCCACCGGTAGTGGTGCTTTTCTGACTGGCACAGCCGCGGTAAAGCTGTGGGTAGATGAGAAAGCCGATTATAACTATAATTCAAATACTTGTGCTCCTAATAAGGTGTGTGGACATTATACTCAAGTGGTTTGGCGTAACTCGGTTCGTCTAGGATGTGCTAGGGTTCAATGTAACAATGGAGGTTATTTCGTTACATGTAACTATGATCCTCCAGGCAATTGGGTTGGCCAGAAACCTTACTAAATGTTTTGATAAAATTAACGACTAATTCTCAATAAACTGAGAACAACCTTGGAATAATAATAATAATAATATATGATCAATATGATATATATGTATCTCTTTTAAACCTTTCCTTTAACTTCATGTTGTTATAATAAAGAGTGAATTGGAATAAGCTCACTAGATCTTTTTTTTTAGTGAAATTCACTTAATTTTATATATGTGGTACTCCATATTATTATGTATGTAAGTTGTTAAGAGAGATACAAATGAATAAATGAATGTATACTTTATTATTTTAATTACATTGCATATATGTTGTATACGCCTTGCAATCATTTACGTATGTATGGTAATCGTATATTTTTACATATATAATACCCTTAAGATCCTCCCGGTTTCAAAAGATTTTGGGATCGATTTTCATCACCCTCCCTTGTGGCTTTTTATAAACAAAAAAACAAAAACAAAAATCCTCTAAAAGTTTGCACCAAAGTAGCAAGAAATACTTATAAATCCAAGAAATATGAATTGATCGACCATAACTCCATAATTCGTCTCTTTTTCGATCTAATACTCAATAGATTAATTAATGTATGTATGTATTTCAGCTCACTAGAATACTGATGATGATACTCAAAATAAAAAGCCATGCGAATTAATCTATGTCTTAAAGCTAATTTGATTTTTGGGATTTATTTTATGTGAAGATTAATTAAAAGGATAGCTAATGTGAATTAATTATGTCGTTAATAACACCAATCCATGCGTGCCGTGATTTTTTCTAAATGTACTGTATAGCAAAAGCCCTTTTTGTTTTGTAATGCAGTTGGAAAAATGCAACCCATGTATATATATATATATATTCTCAACCATATAAAATTAGTCTAGCTAGCTCAACCATTAATTATAATTCGTGGCTACTTAGCTCCTGTTAGTTGTACGAACATTGTCGAAAGGTACTTCCCCCATTCTAAAGTAATTGTTATATTTAGACTTTTAAACCATATATTAGTATCTCTTTTAATCATATTTTGCAAATCTTACATATATTAAGGGAAGTCTTGTTTAAATTTTCTTGATATACTACTCTTACAATATCAACTTGTTATTAAGATTTTGTTAATAAATGATTAAAGATATTGATAATTAGTGGTCTTATATATGAATGCATTGACAAGCATGGACTCCTGTAGATGTGAGTAACGATTATACGTAGTATATTTTAAACACTAGAAGGGAACAATGTAATTTCGCATAGTAACAAAATTGAAAAGGCCATCCATTTCCTAGCTTCTTTCTTGGGTGATAAATTTTTTATTTTTATTTTTATTTTTTTATTTTTTTTTATTGTAATAGTTTGATTCAGTTTATTAAGCATAGGTAAAAATAAAAATATGATAATGATGCCTTCTTGACTAGCCTGTTGAGCTATTGAAAGGGCCTCAAGAAGTCATGCATGCATCTAGAAAACGTGTAACTTGGGGAAAGAATATATATTCGTTATCGTAACCCTTTTTCTATTTGTAACTATCTTATATTGTAAGGGGGCAAATATTGTAATTAAGTAGCTAGCCGCCTCATTTAGTTATTTTACCACGACAAATGAATAAAAATAAAAATTAAATTAAAAAGAATTGATGTAACAAGTAAACAATTTATTCAAAGGTTTGAATTCCATTTTGTAGTTATCATACTTGGTAGTTTTCAATTAACTCAAAGTAAATGTTTATAAATTATTTTATTGATCAAATAATTTTAGGCTAGTTGAATTAAAATTTGACAAATCTATCTTAATTAATGAGACTAAATAGAGGTGGGGGTAAACGTGGATTAAATGACTATGGGATGAAGTTTTCAAACAGTCAAACACCTTCAAGTAGAAAACGTATTCTTACTCGTACTATTTTTTATCCAATCTAATGGTTCTTAAACGTCTATAGTCCATATTTTCCCAAAGATATGTGGTCAACACACTCATCAGCAAGTTTTCAATATCATACGTCTCAAAGGAAAGTCTTGCAAATCAACAGTTTTGGGTCATAATTATAACATATGACTTCTTTTACTGTTTCTACTTAGAAAACACAAATTTGACACTCACTTTAATGAAAAATAAACACAGCCCTTAGCTCTTGGGGCGGACTATGTACTACAATATAAGAAACTACGGAGTAAAAAAGAAAATATTAAAGATAGATTAATATAAATTAGATACAGATTGATTGCACGTGATATTATCATGAATTTTCATCTTTATTTCATTATACTCCATAAAAAAATATATAGTTAATGCCTATATGTAGCCCTTAGGTTTCAATACCTTCCCTTAAAAATTGACGAAGGTTTCCCATTTTTCTATGTAATGCTTGTTCATTAAATTTCATCCAAGATAAATAAATTTTAATTACTACTCTATACCACTTATTCACGACATTCCCTATTCAAAGTCAAAGGTCATAAAAATCAACTATACCTATTCCTCCTTTCTCTAATAAACTGAAGGTTTTTATAATTAGCATTTGTAAATGTATATATGTGTGTGTATAATTTCAAATATGGAGTACTATCCTTAAATCCTTATTAATGTATGATTTCTACTAATTACATACGGTATAACAAAGAAAGATATATAGTTAATTAATTTAATCTACGAGGCAGAATAATTGAAGTGTATTTGTTTAATTATTTCCGTAAAAATTCTACAATGTCATTCTTTAAAAATGACACCACAATCTGCTGATATGGCAAAATCTGATAGGACCATATTTTGTATTTTTATTATTAATTTGGATTATTTTTAATGTCCATAATGTATTAAAATTGTATTTTTTTAATACATGTATTTTTTTTAGAAATACTTATTTATAAATTATGAAAAACTTTTTTATAATAAAAATTAATTTTCGAATTTATAATTATAATTATAAATCATAAAATTAAATTCATTCATCATCTACGTCAAAATTTTTCATCATCGTTTATCATATCGTTCATCATCGAGCATCATTATCGTTCATCGTTCATCATCACTCATCACTCATCACTCATCATCGTTCATCGTTCATTATCACTCATCATCGTGATTTTCCTTTAATTTGCATTGATCATTCCCTAGACTCCATATATAGTGCATACCTTATAATTGAAGCATCCATGCAATACCTTATGGTTCCAAACGACATTATATGACCCTAAGATGTATCCCCTAAGGTCTCAATACTTTTCGCCACCGGGCCCCGTAACCTCAAAAATTCCTCAAAAAGCATGGGTAATAGCCTTCAATTTTGGAATTTTTTGACCTTTTTTCGCCGAAAAATAAAAATTGTCGTGATGTTTACCATGGTCTCTAATATTCTCCGGGAGTCCAATTGAGTGGGTGGAACCATCCAATTTGCCTTAAAACGATCAATTTACCGATTCGCAACTTGCACCGATTTTGTGAACTCAAGCCTACCACGGACATTTATGACATTATATAATCGTCATATATGGTTCCAAACGACATTATATGATCCTAAGATGTATCGCCTAAGGTCTTAATACTTTTCGCCACCATGATCGTTTTTAGGTTACGGGGTCTATCTATATCAATCCCGCTGATAATTTCATTTTGGCACAAATTTTACATTAATTGTGTACTATTCAACGGAAATAAGCATCAATTATATCGTTTTTCTATCATAATGTGAACGGGGATAAACATTAATTGTGTACTATTCAACGGGGATAAACATCATCTAAAGATGTGGCCATAATATGTATTAGGATCACTTCAATTCCCCCCCCCCCCTTTTTGTAATTTTTAATTTTTTTTAATTTTAAAAATGAACATTTTCCTTTGTATATCTAAATTACTACTGTAATAATTCATTTTTTGACGTATCCTAAAAACGATCATGGTGGCGAAAAGTATCGCCTAAGGTCTTAATACTTTTCGCCACCAGACCCCGTAACCTAAAAACGATCAATTTACCGATTCGCAACTTGCACCGATTTTGTGAACTCAAGCCTACCACGGACATTTATGACATTATATAATCGTCATATATGGTTCCAAACGACATTATATGATCCTAAGATGTATCGCCTAAGGTCTTAATACTTTTCGCCACCATGATCGTTTTTAGGTTACGGGGTCTGGTGGCGAAAAGTATTAAGACCTTAGGCGATACTTTTCGCCACCATGATCGTTTTTAGGATACGTCAAAAAATGAATTATTACAGTAGTAATTTAGATATACAAAGGAAAATGTTCATTTTTAAAATTAAAAAAAATTAAAAATTACAAAAAGGGGGGGGGGGGGAATTGAAGTGATCCTAATACATATTATGGCCACATCTTTAGATGATGTTTATCCCCGTTGAATAGTACACAATTAATGTTTATCCCCGTTCACATTATGATAGAAAAACGATATAATTGATGCTTATTTCCGTTGAATAGTACACAATTAATGTAAAATTTGTGCCAAAATGAAATTATCAGCGGGATTGATATAGATAGGGCTGCTGCTATAAGAACACTACTTTTCTCAAAAAGAGGCTATGATCTTGTATTGGATATTGTTATATACATTCGGGTGCATCGTTCACCCATAAGTAATTTGTTCTCGTTTTTATAGCAAAAACTAATCTTGAATTAGTTGGGTGTACGGTACACCTGGGAGTATATAACAATGTCTCGTGTAATATAACCCTTATATGATAGTTATGCATGAGCATATATATGCTACTCAAATAGACGTGCATTTTTTTACTTCCAATTACTCCTTTCGTCTGAAATTAAAATAATAGAATATTGTGAAATTAATTCCATAATAATTTTAATAAAGAATTTATATATTGTTCTCTTCTCCTAGGATAAGGTATTCTAATTTGATTATACTCACTCATGATTTAATCTAGTGTATAGTATAGTAGTTTGAGTTCTTCTAATTTGGTGAGGTGTGGTATTTCGATTTAAATATCTAACTTAAGCTCGATCGTATTTTACATCTATAGTATATCACGCACTCTCCATCCCTGACCTCTCATGAGCTTAACTGAAGTTAGGGGTTTCATTTCTACTCGCAATAACCATAATACTCACAATTTTTTAATTAATTTTTTTTTATATATTTTTTTTTGAGAAAATAATACTCACAAATACTGTCAAATAATGTATGTAGGTTTTTTATTATTTTTTATTTATTATTCTCAAATATTTTGAATTTAAGCAAGGCTCTATATAAACGTTACTCTCATACAAAGTGATGCATGAATTTATAAACTGTAATTGTAAATAAATTACAATTTATTTATTTGTTCATCCCAAAGAACAAACCTTACATGGCCAACATAGGTGTTTATAAGATTTATTCCACATACATTATTAAGTATGGAGTAGAGAATATTACTCCAGCTTTAGCGAGTTTAAATTATTTGAACTATACTTAAAAAAAAAAAAAAAAAAAAAAAAAAAAAAAAAAAAAAAAAAAACTCCTTATTTTAATGATAGAGGTATACTGGTATAGATATGGTCATCTAATAATTCTTTCCACTTCTAAATATATAAAATACGTTGAGAATCAAGGTTGACCTAGTGGTTGAAGGTCCTCCTTCCAACCCTGTGAGAGGGGTTCGATTCTCATCCCAAGCAAGTTGGATCCCTTATTTCCCCCCAACTTGCAAGTGTTAAATACTAGTATACAAGATTATTGATATCTCATACAAAATTAAATACTAGTAAATGTCGTAGTAAGCAAAGTAACATAGATGAAGTATTATTACGTGGTTTAACAAGAACGATCATAAAGTCTAGTAAGGTTTTTGGCCAATAATATTTCCTCGAGGATCATAGTTGCAAGTGATGAAAATCCCACCACCGTTACATGGAACCCTAGCACATCCAAGACGAACGGAGTCACGCCAAACCACTTGAGTATAATGTCCACACACCTTATTAGGAGCACAAGTATTTGAATTATAATCGTAGTTAGCCTTCTCATCAACCCAAATTTTTACTGCATCGGTGCCACTAGCATCACCCGGACCAGCTACGATATTCTCTCCGTAAGGTCCTCCAGAATGCTGCAAAGCACAATCATTAATTCGTTGGTTGGCATATTGTTGGGCGTAGGCCGCGACTTGGTCATCCCATTGTATGTTACCAACACCCACGGCAGCCCTAGCTGCATTGTGGGCATCGACATAGTCTTGTGGTGAATTTTGCGCGTAACATAATTGTGCAAAGGCTAGGATTGCTATGACAAAGCATGAAAAGGTTGCATGGTTTTTGAGTGAATGCATTTTTTTTTTTTGGATTGTTACTAATGTTACAAAGAGATGTGTAATAAATATTCGGGATGGATTTTATGTCCATGAGATGGGAGATTATATAGGAGGGAGTTCTTGAATATTCTTAGCTAAGTGTTGAAAGTTAGATGAAGAAAATTCAAAGCCTAAGTTAGATAGGATAGCACCAGGAAAAAATGAAATCATCCAACTAGTTTTTGCGTTCAAGATTTGTGTGATTATTTTTAAGATTTTTTTTTTTTTTTTGTGATTTCGTTATTATGGTTATTGACGGTTCTAAGTATGTCATTCTACTGCTTATCCCTCTAATTTTTTTAAAAGCAACACTTTTAAAATGGAAATATTTAACACTATTTTTTTTAACAAAATATTCAATACTATTTCATTATATCTTTATCATCTAATTTTACTCACTTGTATTATTTTCTTATTTCTAACTCTTGTCTACATTTCTAAGCTTACTTTTAAACAAACTTCCTCCATTATTAATTAAATGACATAATTCTTTTATCACGTTTGTTAATTTGTATAGTTAACCGTAAATTTTTCTAATTATTAATAAGTAATACTATTAAATTTTGAAATTTTAGTTCGGCCACATATTGTTTGTCTTTGTCAACAAAACATTTTTTTTATGGTATAGAGGACTTTGACTAGACCTCAACCCTCAAGATTTTTTTTTTTTTTTTTTTTTTTTTTTTTTTTTTTTTTTTTTTGTCTAGTATTTGTGAGCTAGGCACTTGAGAGTGAAGGGGAAAATAAAGGAATCTCTAAAATTTAATGTAAGAGTCTTACCAAATGAGTCAACACTTAATTAGTTCAACAGGACAACAATAATGGATTGGAGCATATAGCAATATTGTCATTCTAACCATAATGGTTAGATTTGAGTCATTTGATATAAGAAAACAGGAAATTAAATTATACATGATATACATTTTCATGCAAATTGTAAAGGATTTTTACAATAATCCCAATGAACAAACAACCACACCACCACCACCACTGCCGCGGCTTTATTTATTTATAAATTCACAACTTATATTTAATTGATATATAATAAGGCTTAGAAAGGCCTTTGGCCAATTATGTTGCCTGGTGGATTATAGCTGCACATAACAAAAATCCATCCATTAACACATTGAACCCTAGCACACCCAACATTAACCGAATCATGCCAAACCAGTTGAGTATAGGTCAAACAATCTGTACCAACTGCACAAGTATTCAAACTATAATCATACTCAACCTTCTGTTGCAACCATAGTTCTACGGCGTCTGTGCCAGAGAACAACGGGTTGCTACTTACGGCGAGGTTTTCTCCATAGGGCCCGTTGGAACGTATGAGGGCACAATCGTCAACCCGGCTCAGGGCATATCGTCTGGCATAGGATGCCAATGTGCTGTCCCACTCTATGTTTACAACGCCCACTTCCGCCCTTGCGGCGTTATGGGCATCTAGGTAGTCTTGGGGAGAATTTTGTGCAAGGCATATTTGGACTAATGCTAGGGTTGCTATGATGAGGCATGAAAATGTTGCAAGTGTATTACTTTTAAACAAACTTGTACACATCTTTTGTTTTTAGAAATTAAGACAAATAAAAAGATATATTAAGGCTCTTGGAAAATATATCAAATAATGCTAAAGATGTTGTACAATTTATAGTGGATAAGTAATTAAAATTTATTTGCAATGTCACCATCTAAAAGCTCATGAGCAAGAATTGATCAAATGGTTCTCAGTAAATGAAAATTAAAAATTAAGGATTAAAAAAGAAGGAAAAAAAGAAGAAGAATTGATCATAATATCATTATATATGCTTCAAAGAAATTATCAAAATATTGATTTTATATACTATGTATGACTGTAAACATGCCTATCATTTTGCTACTTGATTTGTTGCTGATCAAGACGATTAGTAAATCACAAATTAAAATGCGGAACTTTAATCGAGCGACCAAACAACTATGCCTATAAGAATTATGAAAAAATCAACTTATTGATCCATTAATTTTTTTTTTTTTTTTTTTTTTTTTTTTTTTTTTTGAGGAAAGATCCATTCAATTCATAATTCTACACTCTGTATTCTTTTAACCCCAAATTTTATTATTAATTTTTTATGTTTTATTTTTTTTGAAAGATAACCCCAACTTATTATACATTGAAAATTTATACTACCTCCGTTACAAGTTATGTGCAATGATTTGACATAAAGCAGAGAGGAAAAATGTCTAATTGTTGCACATAACCTGTAACGGAGGCAGTAGATTGATGTTCAATCCTTGAAAAATAATTAGCACTCTATAACGTAAAAATTCAATCCTTGGAAACAATAAACAAAAACTAATCAAGATTGAAGTTTCCAAACACTTTCCGCCACCAGGCCCCGTAACCTAAAAAATTCCTCAAAAAAGTGGATAATAGCCTTCAATTTTGAAATTTTTTGACCTTTTTTCGCCCGTAAATAAAAATTTCCGAGATATTTACCATGGTCTCTAATATTCTCCGGGAGTCCAATTGAGTGGGTGGAACCATCCAATTTGCTTTAAAACGATCAATTTACCAATTCGCAACTTGCACCGATTTTGTGAACTCAAGCCTACCACGGACATTTATACAATTGGCTTTAATGTTAAGTCTGAAAGAACAAGAAAATAAGTAAAGCCAGAATGAACCACAGAATTAACTTCCTTCCAAAAGAATAATCCGAGTTCAGAATGCCTTAATCGTATCAATCATGGTAATTCAATTGATAACAATAACAGTACATTGGACAGTCTATTATGTAATCGTGTAAAAATATAATAATGTGATATGTAAATGACCCCAAAAAAAAAAACCCAAGGGTGGACACTTAATTTGAGATTTCCATGTCAGCTGATGTAGAAAACTCAAGATTTGAGATTGAAGAACAGAGGAACTATCCTGTATGGATGTATCTGTCAGACTGAATGTAATAGGAAGGGAGAGGGATGAATGAGGAAGCTTGGTTCTTTATATTCGAAAATTTCTAGTGAGATGTGTATGATCTAAGGTAAGACGTAAACCATATGTATTGACAGCCGCATTGGCTGCTCTAAATCCTCCACTGTAAGTTGGAGAAGCATAATAGGCAATCTGTTTCAGGAACAACTCTCCCAACTTCTTCAATATTTAGTTAGCTCTATTAATTTTCTTCAATAAGCTAATTGGTGATAATTTTTGTGTTTGTTTACATTTGTCAAGAGCAGTAGGAAAAGCATTCTGGATGGAAAAATGTTTTCATGCATTCAAGATAATAGTTATTTACCCATTAAGCTTTTATTTGAAAATCAACTTGAGATTCAGTTGTTTAAATAAATAAAATACAAAAAAAATAAAAGTGACATTCAATTTCTTATATAAGAAAAACAAAAGTTGGACAATAAAAGAATTCATATACATAATCTGTTGATAAGTATATTAGGTGACTCGTACTTCGTAGCTTTGTCCGCCCGATCGGGCGGACATTGCCCGGTCTGACCGGGCGGAAGAAGAAGAGGTGCCTGGCAAATTCGTTGAAGAAGCTGCTCTCGCGCCCGACCGGGCGAGCCTTCGCCCGACCGGGCGAGCCTTCGCCCGATCGGGCAGACCTTGCCCGGTCTGACCGGGCGGTGGGGGTTGGATACGTTGAAGCATTCGTATGGAGTCTTCTTCTCGCGCCCGATCGGGCAGACCTTGCCCGGTCTGACCGGGCGGAGAAGGAAAAATACGGAACGCGGATTTTGCGGTTTTAGGTTATCTTATTTTATTATCTTTTTGCCCAAGTATCTTTTAATTAGGGATTAATATAAAACCTCCCTAATATCAGTATTAGGGTTAAGAGAGACAGAGTGAAAGCCGTTCTTGAGAAATACAAGAATCATCTTTGTAATCTTTGCAGTTTATAGTGAAATCATTCGATCTCGGTGCCCGTGGACGTAGCTATCACATCGATAGTGAACCACGTAAATTCTTGGTGTTGTTCTTATTGTTTGCATTGAATTTCTTTATTGTTTTCTTGTTTGATTTCGACCTTTGCTTCCGCTGTCGCACAACAATTGGTATCAAGAGCTCAGGTTCAATCCTTGGATAGTTTCTTGAAGATAACAATGGCAGGAGATTCAACAATAAGAATTGAGAAGTTTACCGGGAAAAATAGTTTCGGGCTATGGCAAATTAAGATGAAGGCTCTGTTAAAACAACAGCAGATATGGCGTCCGTTGGCTCCAAAGAGTACTACTTCGGAGTCAGGAGACGGACCGACTGACTCGCAGTTAGAAGTTATGGAAGAGAAGGCACACTCTACCATATTACTTAGTCTTGATGATCAAATCATCACGGAGGTGGCTGATCAGGAAACGGCGGCTGGATTGTGGCTGAAGCTGGAGTCATTGTATATGACTAAGTCGTTGACCAACAAATTATTACTGAAACAGCGGTTGTTTAGCCTCCGGATGCAGTCAGGTACTTCCTTACGGGAACATCTAGAAAAACTTAACTCTATTTTGCTTGATTTACGTAATTTAGATGTTAAAATTGATGATGAGGATGCTGCGTTGATTTTACTTGTATCTCTACCGTCTAGCTTTGAGAATTTTGTAGAGTCTTTTGTTGTTGGTAAGGATTCTATAACCTTAGAAGAAGTGAAGGCAGCACTTCATACTAGGGAACTCAGAATGAAAGCTACGAGTGATAATGGGGATAATGGTAGTGGGTTGTTTGTTAAGTCCGGAAAGTCTAAAAAGAATAAGGGGTTTAACAAGGGGAACAATGCTGGGTCGGGTGCTGGAAACGGCAAGGATGGATCTAGTAAAACTACTACTAAAACATGTTATTACTGTAAAGAACCGGGTCACTTTAGGAATAATTGTCCGGTGAGGAAAAACAAGTCCCAGGCTGCTGTAGTTGAAGAGAAACCGAATGAGAGCTATAATTCAGAGGAAGATTTAGCATTAGTCAGTTCTGCTAGGTCTGATGATTTATCTGATAACTGGGTTCTAGATTCGGGGTGTTCGTTCCATATGTGTCCACGTCGAGATTGGTTTGATACATATGAACCTCGCAATGGGGGTATGGTTATAGTCGGTAACAATGCTCCATGTAAGGTCACAGGTATTGGTTCCATGAGGTTGAGGACTGTTGATGGGCGGAGGTTAACTTTGACTAATGTACGGCATGTTCCTGCTTTAGGAAAGAATCTGATTTCATTGGGTACCCTGGATGACTTGGGGTACAATGGTGTGTTTTCAGATGGGGAGTTGTGTATTTTCAGAGGTTCTGAGTTGGTACTTAAGGGTATCAAAAGGAACACCCTCTATGTTTTTGAGGGTGTTACACTGCCTAGTTCTGCGGTTTGCGCATCTGTATCTCACCAGGAGATGACTAAGATTTGGCACATGAGGCTTGGTCATATGGGGGAGAAGGGGATGCAGCTATTGTCCAAGAGGGGTCTTCTATCCGGGGTCAAGGTTGCCAACCTTGAATTTTGTGAGCATTGTGTGTTTGGTAAGAAACACAGGTCAAAGTTCAGCAAGGGTGCTCACATTACTGATGCAGTGCTCGATTACATCCATTCAGATTGCTGGGGTCCATCTAGAGTTGAAGGTATGGGAGGTTACCACTATTTTGTGTCATTTGTTGATGACAAGTCCCGATACACATGGCTTAGGTTGCTTAAGTCAAAGGATGAGGCCTTCAAAGTTTTCAAGCAATGGAAAGCTTTGGTGGAAAATCGACAAGGAAGGAAGATCAAGAAGCTACGAACGGACAATGGGCTAGAGTTTTGCAAAGACGAGTTTAATCAGTTCTGTGCAGATGAGGGCATAGGTCGGCATCATACTGTCAGGAAGACACCACAGCAGAACGGTGTAGCAGAACGGGTTAATCAGACACTGCTAGAGAGAGTTCGATGCATGCTCTCTAATGCAGGGCTTGGGAGGAGGTACTGGAGTGAAGCTGTGTTAACAGCTTGTTATGTCATTAATAGGGGTCCTCATTCTGGAATTGATTCCAAAATTCCGTTTGAGATCTGGAGTGGTAAGTTGCCTAATTTTTCGAATTTGAAGATTTTTGGTTGTGTTGCTTATTATCATGTTATTGAGGGTAAGCTGGATCCACGAGCCAAGAAGGGGTGTTTTGTTGGGTACGGGGATGGTGTGAAGGGGTTTAGAATTTTTTCACCTTCGGAGGGTCGGGTCATTCTTAGTAGGGATGTTACTTTCGATGAAAACACCATGTATTCAATTAAAAATGCAGAGATTTCAGATTTGAGAAGGGAAGGAGACAATTTATTACAGACAGATGGGGTACTTGAGGTACATCAGTCTACCATTGCTGATTTACCTCGGGTACAATATATTGATGATGATGCTGATGTTTCAGTGCCGGGTACTCCTGAACCTGAGATTACTCCTACTCATTCTAACTCTGGGGATGAGGTGGAGCAATCTAATCAGGGGTCATCTAGTCAACCTGACACCATTCTTGAGATGCCTAAACGAGTTATCAAGAAGCCTGTTAGATTGATTGAAGAGATGGAGGGAAGAAATTGCTGTGTTGATGCGATGACAGGTTATGCATTGAGTGTAGCTGATGATGTAGAGTCATTTGAACCTGCCACATATAAACAAGCAATTAGTTGTAGTGAGTCTGCGCAATGGCTTGCCGCAATGGGTGAAGAGATGCAGTCTCTTTACAAGAACAGAGTGTGGGAACTGGTAAAGGTACCGGAAGGGAGGAAGCTTGTGGGTTGTAAATGGATTTACAAGAAGAAAGAAGGGTTGTCGGAAACTGAGCAAATACGTTTTAAGGCTAGGCTAGTTGCTAAGGGGTTCAGTCAGGTAGAAGGGGTTGACTTTGTTGAGATATTCTCACCTGTGGTTCGACATACTTCTATCCGTGTGTTATTGTCAATTGTAGCACATTTTGATCTTGAGCTGGAGCAGTTGGATGTTAAAACGGCTTTCCTTCATGGCGATTTGGAGGAGGAGATTCTGATGAAGCAGCCCGAAGGATTCGAAGTTCCTGGAAGGGAACACTATGCCTGCAGATTGCTAAAGTCATTGTATGGACTTAAGCAATCCCCCCGACAGTGGTACAAAAGGTTTGATTCTTTTATGGTTTCACAAGGTTTTGACAGGAATTCATATGATTGCTGTGTGTATCATAGTAAGCTGGATAATGGTTCCATGATTTATCTTTTGTTATATGTTGATGACATGTTGGTTGCCACAAAGAATAAATCTGATATTGCTAGATTAAAGGAGATGCTTAACTCGGAGTTTGACATGAAAGACTTGGGTGCAGCTAGGAAGATTTTGGGTATGGAGATCTACAGGGATCGGGCTAGAGGTAAGCTTTTCTTGACTCAGAAAAGCTACATTGAAAAGATTCTGTCTCGTTTTGGGATGGAAAAATCGAAGCCTATAAGTACGCCAACTACTGTTAGTTGTAAGTTGTCTTTGTCTATGTCACCTCAATCAGAGGAGGAGTTGTCTTATATGTCTAGAGTTCCATATGCAAACGCGGTTGGTTGTTTGATGTATGCTATGGTCTGTACTAGGCCGGATATTGCGCATGCTGTTAGTGTTGTAAGCAGGTTTATGGCTCGACCTGGGAGGGAACACTGGCAAGGGGTGAAAAGGATTTTTCGCTACCTGAGAGGGACAACTGATATTGGTCTTGTGTACGGGAATGGTAGGGAATGCTTGGTCACTGGGTACAGTGATTCTGATTATGCAGCTGATGTGGATACCAGGAGGTCTGTGACTGGTTATGTGTTCACTTTGGGTGGTTCTGTGGTTAGTTGGAAGTCTACATTGCAGTCATCAGTTACGTTGTCAACTACTGAAGCTGAGTATATGGCTCTAACTTCTGCAGCTAAGGAGTCTATTCGGCTCAAAGGCCTAGTAGGTGAACTGGGTATTGCACAGGATTTTGCTACAGTGTATTGTGATAGTCTAAGTGCGATTTGCTTAGCTAAAGATCAAGTACACCATGATCGGACGAAGCACATTGATGTCAGGTATCATTTCTTACGTACTGACAAGAGGATTAAGGTGAAGAAGATTGGGACTGCTGACAACCCGGCTGATTTCTTCACTAAGCCTGTTCCGTTTAGCAAGTTTAAACATTGCTTAGACTTGCTAAATATTGATTACTACGTGATGTAGTAGGCCCTGAGGGGCGAAGTTGGGGAGCTCCTGGTGTAGGTGTGTTGGCATTAAGGTGGAGCTTGCCCGGGGCTTGTGATGCAGGTGGAGCATTATGAGTTGTTATACTTGGAGACGAGTATGTGATGGGTCTTGGTTGAAGACTTATCGGGATGTATGGCTTATGCATGAGTCCTGCATCGGGTTTGGCTTGAGATGTTTTTTCACTATGTCTTGATGGGGTCGTTTGCTGACTACGAGTTCTCGTCAAGGTGGAGATTGTTGATAAGTATATTAGGTGACTCGTACTTCGTAGCTTTGTCCGCCCGATCGGGCGGACATTGCCCGGTCTGACCGGGCGGAAGAAGAAGAGGTGCCTGGCAAATTCGTTGAAGAAGCTGCTCTCGCGCCCGACCGGGCGAGCCTTCGCCCGATCGGGCAGACCTTGCCCGGTCTGACCGGGCGGTGGGGGTTGGATACGTTGAAGCATTCGTATGGAGTCTTCTTCTCGCGCCCGATCGGGCAGACCTTGCCCGGTCTGACCGGGCGGAGAAGGAAAAATACGGAACGCGGATTTTGCGGTTTTAGGTTATCTTATTTTATTATCTTTTTGCCCAAGTATCTTTTAATTAGGGATTAATATAAAACCTCCCTAATATCAGTATTAGGGTTAAGAGAGACAGAGTGAAAGCCGTTCTTGAGAAATACAAGAATCATCTTTGTAATCTTTGCAGTTTATAGTGAAATCATTCGATCTCGGTGCCCGTGGACGTAGCTATCACATCGATAGTGAACCACGTAAATTCTTGGTGTTGTTCTTATTGTTTGCATTGAATTTCTTTATTGTTTTCTTGTTTGATTTCGACCTTTGCTTCCGCTGTCGCACAACATAATCAATCATAAACTCCATATTCGAATTACATAACCATATGATTAGTCTGAAGTATAACATTTGGTCCATTTGTACGACAATTCAACCCCATTGATTTGAAGCATTCATCAATCTCATTAATCGTTTCTTGTGCATGTTTACTCATCCCTTCTTTAGTCCCTTGCAAAAAGAACTTTCTCTTTACCTCTTCAATTGCATCTCTTACATCACGACTTTCATAATCATCTTGTCCTTCCTCTACATTGTAGAATTCTTTGTGTATCTTCTTTAACTCCCTTAAAACCCTAGCGAGCTCTCCATACTTCTCACTTTCATCTGCCCAATTTCGTGACCAAGATTTCTTATTCGAGGATTCATCATCAAAGAACTCATATGGAGCTATTTTGATCACACTCTTAGCATTGTCGTCTTTCCATACTTCTTTTAAATCATCGACCACTAAAACAACTCTTTCATGTGCCCATACAAGATCGAGACCCTTCTTCAATGGCTTTGAACGGATATCTTCTCTTGTGATCACTTGTGAATGAGCAAAATACAACCCTTCGGGATCAAGTAGGTCAAGCATTTTCCTTGCGTATTTGCAAGTTCCTAACGTGAAAATTGAAAACTCGAATACTGCGCTAGCTTCTTTAAGAAACGTTTCAACATTAGGCCTCAATTTTGTTACCCAATGATCATTACGTCCCTGAAAATAATTGAAATAAAATTATGTTAATTTACCGCATACTAGAACCATATAATACTTGAACGAACTAAACAAAATATAGACCTATTAATATGTAAGTAAATGTTATTCAACATACAAATTAAAGATAATTTTAAAATTTAGAAATATACTCTAGCAGGTAGACATGTCACGCTATCGTTTCTCTGAAAATTCCATTGGAATAGCTTCTTTTCCTCGATCAATTTGACACCAACAGAGCGTTGTAAATAATCACGATCATATTTTGTTAACTTTAGCATAGTACTCGAGTGGAGAAGAGTATTGTCTAAATCAAGAACAAGATGGAGCTTCTTCCGCGCCAATAAACTCTTTAAATTTTTATCACGAACACTCTTAATCAAATCAGCATAATGAATTGAAGAAGAAGAAATAACATTAGGCTTTAAGTTTTGGACTGCCATTATCTGCCTTGTAAAAGAGGAGCGTACAATTTTTTATTTTTTTTTTTGATGGAAGATAATAACGAATAAGTTTTACATTACAAAAATTTGGTTAATATGTAGTAATTATTTATAACAAGGAATTATTAAATCCTTGAGAAACAAGGAATATATCCTTGAGCAACAACGACACCATACTACGAATACGAGTAGTAATCCTATCATTAAAGTTCATCTTCAAATTATTGGAATTTTTTTCTCAAATGGGCCCAGGCCCAGGCCCAAAAATTAAAACCAAATATCTTTGTTTGTGAAATTACTTTTTCTTTTTCTTTTTCTTTTTTTTTTTTTTTTTGGTAGAAAGTGAAATATTACTTTTTGTGACTGTATAAAAATAATAATAATAAAAAAAGTATCCATTTTGCTTTAAAATGTGAAATCAAGAGGAATAATGAATAGGTGGTTTCTTTTTTTCCTTTAAGGTTGGTTAAAAAGCATTTTATGTGGACTTTTCTTATATAGTTGACTAACTATAGTAATAAATATTCATGATGTATGAACAAATAAAAGAACTATAAATATAAGACACGAAAAGTTGCACTATATCCCTATAAATAATCAACCCATACACCTTAAATTCTCCAACCCCCTTACATAAAACCACCACCAAAAAAATGAAGCTATCCCTTCATCTCTTCTTTTGTGCTATTTTAGCAACAACTCTTGTGAAATCCCATGCCCAAGACGACCAAAAAGAGTTCCTAGACGTGCACAACGCGGCCCGTGCTGAAGTCGGGGTGCCACCCTTAAAATGGAACCAAACACTAGCATCATACGCCCAAGATTTCGCCAACAAAGTCAAGCATACATGCGATAACACGATGTCATCAAATGGACCTTACGGCGAGAACACGGCTTCCGGATACGTGTTTACGACTACTGATGCGGTCAATCAATGGGTTGGGGAGGAAACAAATTATGATCATAACATGAATGTTTGTTTGAATGGAAAAGAATGTAAGCATTATAAACAAGTGGTTTGGAAGGATAGCTTACATCTTGGGTGTGCTAGTATTACTTGTGGTGCTGGTTGGCCTTTTGTTGTTTGTGAATATTATCCTCCTGGTAATGTTAATGGTGTTAAGCCTTATTAATTTTGTAGTAATTAAATTTTATTAATTATTAATGTATTTTTAATTAATTACGTACACGTACTAGATATATATGTAATGTTGGACTGTTGCTCACCTCAATATAATTTCATTAATATGGTATGGATTTCCATCCAATTTGATGAATTAATGAGATGAGAATAATAAAATTGACTTTCAAATTTCATATAATTTTGAATTCGAATTGAGGTTTGGCGGCTGTGATTTAATATATATGCATGAATGTCTGGAATTTGTTTCTTATTAAACATTGTTTAAAAAATTTACTTAACATGTTATGTATAGGCGTATAGCTATTAACTATAAGGTTTTGTACGTAAGGTGGAAAAAATAACCCCTAGATCATGTCGATCATATAAGATATAAACTAGTTTAAGATTTATCTATTTTAAATCTTAAATGAATCTTTATCTACAATTGCAAACCGAAAATAACTAGTTTAAATCTTAAATGAATATTTATCTATGTTGGTTCGTATTTGACCTTAAGTCAACATCTTAACGTCAACTATGCTTGTCTCAATTTCAGATTTTGTTATACACAGTAATGACGTTTAACATTATATTCACTTTATCTTATTATAATCATACAAACTATGTGCTTACAAATATATGAAAACAAATACTGCTTACAAATAATCGTACAAAGTACTTCGTATGTGCTAAATGTAGCCTAGAATGGGGAAGTAATCAACATAACTAGAACGTCCAATTTCTTCCATGATGCACCGCATTAATGTGCACAAGACATCGATAGTCCATGCCCAAGATAACCAAACCGAGATTCTAAATGTGCACAACACGGCCTGTGCTCAAGTCGGAGTACCACCCCTTAAATAGAACCACACCCGGCCCAAGCATTATAGGCCCCAAATTTTGCCAACAAAGTGAAGCAAACATGTAATAGCAGTATAGCACGATGTCATCTAGGGGACCTTACGGTGGCATCTACGACGGTTTTAATCCATATCTTAATCTCCTTACATAGTCAAATGCGTTCTAGGTCCTAAACAAACATGGTACATATGGCCGATATGGGTAGCAAATACACGAAGAAAAACACACGCAATATTAACATCCATAATAGATCAAATGGACCATAACAAGTGACATTAATTAAATTTTCTCAATTGATAAAAATAATAGTAAAGTGACGTTCAAAATAATTTCCTAAAAAAGAAAATCAAAAGTACGTAAAGAAAATCATAGAATTCATGTTAGCTAGAACTAACATTACATAACTTCATGACTAGTCTGAATTCGATTTAGTTTATTTCTGCGGCAATTTAGATCCATCGATTTGAAGCATTCATCAATCTCATTAGTTGTTTCCTTTGCATGTTGACTCATCGCATCCTTAGTACCTTGCAAGCTGAATTTTCTCTTCACTTCTTCAATTGCATCTCTTACATCACGGCTTTCATAATCTTCACCTTCCTCCAAATTGTAAAACTCTTTGTGAATCTTCTTTAACTCTCTCAAAACTCGAGCAAGTTCTCCATACTTCTCACTTTCATCCGCCAACTTTTGCGTCCAAGATTTCTTATTTGAGGACTCATCTTTAAAGAACCCGTATGGTGCTATATCGATCAAATTTTTAGCATTAGCTTCCCACACGTCTTTTGCATCATCGACTACTAACACGACCCTTTCATGCGACTTCAAAAAATGATGCCCCTTCCTCCATGATCTCGTTAATAGCACCTTCTCCCTCGTGATCACTTGTGAGTTAATATACAAACGCTCGGGATCAAGTAGCTCTAGCATCTTCCTTGTATATGTCTCGTTTCCTAGCGTAAAAATTGATATATCGAATAGTGTACTTGCTTCCTTGAGGAACGTTTTGACATAAGGCCTTAATTTGGTTACATAAACATCCTGTAATTTCAAGTTTATGTTAATTTAACTTGTAAAAATAAATTTGACTCAATTTAACAACTATAATATACTATCTGTACGTCAAAACAAAAAAAAAGTAAAATAAAATAACACTTCTTAATTGAAATTTGTTAAACATGATTATTGAAAAAAAAAATATAAATCATAATACGTACAACTTATTTAGTATAAAAAAATAAAGACAGGAAACTCAAATAGACGTACGTACCTTGAACCCCTCTGCTTCATAATCCCATATATATAGTTTTTTATCTTCCATCAATTTGACAGCAACGGGGCGTTTTAAATAATCTTGATCATATTTGGTTAAAGTTTCTAAAATAGCCGATTCAAGAATGGTATTGTCTAAATCGAGTACGAGGTGGAGCTTCTTCTTCGATATTAATGTCTTCAAATTTGCATCACGCTCAATCGAATCAGGATGAATTAAAGAAGAAGAATTGACAGTAGCCTTTAGGTTTTGGACTGCCATTACTTTGTTGTGTTTTTCTCAAAGGAGCTTTTTTGTTTTTTTTGTTTGGAATACAATTATGAAAATTTTAGTTTGCGTGTATCTGATTCCTGTTATTTATAACAATGCCCAAGTCGGTTAAACTAGATATATATGTTGATAACCTAATGTTTCCTTGAGAAGCAAGCAAAGAAATAGGAGTATAATCTTATTTTAGGAAACAATCTTACTTCGTATTTCAGGAGCTAATAAGCTAACATTATTAGGAAATTACCAAAAATTATCCTAAACTATCATATCATATTTTATAAGATCTACGAAACAATATTAATTTGTATTTTAGGAAATAAGCATACATATCACCAAATATAATCCTAAACTATCCTCTTATGATCTTATCATATCTTTAAAATTTGGGCATACACTGCTTAAGTGCTTAACTGACCTATAGAATTTCGTAACTTAGCCCAGGCCCAAATAAATATCTTTGTAGCTATTTTGTGATATTCCGTAACTGACTTATCAAATTTCGTAACTTGACCCAGGCCCAAATAAATATCTTCCTAGCTATTTTGTGCTCTAATGGTGAGCAATAGAACATTGTTGCTTGGAAAAATATAAATAATTAAATAAAATAGTTTTTATCATACATATGTCATGATATAAGTAGATAAAGTTTTCTTTAAAAAATCAGGCAATATAACTTTTTGAGCAAGCCATATGATATAATGTAATTACCCAAATATCCCGATTCAATTTCGTTACTCAACTATGAAAAATTAAGTCGTTTTTTTGTGAAATAGAACTACACCTTAAAAAAAATGATATATACCGTCTTTAGGGTCACACATAACTATTAAATTGATTTTCAAAAAAAATGTACTTGTATAAATTTAAGAATACATGGAAAATTAAAATCACATGTTGAGCAATTTTATTAATGCTTAATAATTTTGAATATTTTTTTCTTTAAATTTCTTATATTCAACCGTGAAACTAAGGGTTCATTCATGTATATACAAGTATATATCATTTTCCCTTTTTCATGGAACACCTTATATGACCATTTCTTATTGTCAATTTATAGCCAAAAGAAGTCATATTTCCAACCATTGACTACTTCCTATTTTTTTTACGGAAATTTGGTAGGTGTTAAAAATTGCGAGTCTTCAATTGTCTCATCATGTCGAGCTCGCATGAAAAATTGACCTAATAAATGGAATGGGAAATCTTTCTACTTCATTCCTAAGACGAGAATCGAGTATGCCACGTTTACTTTATCTTAATTAGTGATTTAATATTGTTATATCAGAATCTAGCCGCTTCTTGCATGTACGAAAGAACACAAAAGAAAAATAATTAGTTGAATAAACATCCAAAAAAAGTAAATTATTTAATGTACTTGGCAAAATATTCTTGAAAAAAAACCTCAAATCAAACGTTGTATGGACATGCATGATACATGTAAACGTATTTTTCTTCGACGTGACCCTATATGACTGCCCAACCACTCGATCCATGATTTAATATGGTTTGGTTGATGGTTAGAAATTATGCGTAATGGTGGACAATGTGAATTTAATGAATTGATTGAAAAGAGATTAATGTTCCTTACAAATCATTAGCAAAGTGATCAATTCAGCTTTGTCATAATCTATTGAAGGTTATACATACATACACAAATCATTAGTAGACATTATTTTATTTAATAAATGTGAAATTAATAAGATCAGATTAATTGAGTACTAAGGGTCTGTTCACATTTGTTGAACTGAACTGAACCAAACTGATTGGAGCTTAACGAACTAAACTAAAATAAATATTTTATGAGAGAAGGAAATTAGGAGCTGAATTGAACTGATTGGAGCTGAAAAAAACTGAACTGAACTAAATTGAAGATGAAGTGAACAGGCCCTGAACAAGACTTTTCCACGGGTTGAAGATTAGTATTACGGAGTACAGAAGATATGATGGAGCAAATGACGTTATTTTCATCGTATTTAGTGGATGAGTGATATTTATAGAAAATGATCAAGAAGGATTAGGCCAAACCTAGTGGATGGGTATTTTGTTGACAACTTGTCATACTAAAGTTATGATAATGGTCCAAACTGTTCTTCGTGAAACATCATCCTAAATATGTAGTGCCTTTTAAATATGCTCTAGTAAGTAATTATAACTATGTTATATAGAAACCAAGTTAGTTATATAGTTCAACTTTATACATTAAATTAGTAGTTCAAAGCATGTGAAATGAGAAGTATTACAGATTTACTGCTGAAACATATCCGTATTAAACATGATTTACTAATTAATTAACATGATTAATTGATTTAGACTTTAGAGATGGACAAACTTGTAAGTAGCCGCCTCCTTAAACCGTTTTCGTATTTGCATAAAGCACATGGCCTGAGCAACTAATGAGCTGGTTCTTTATCGATTAAATATGTCGCTTAAAGCTAAACATCTAATAATTAGCCTATAATTGTGCGATTAAGGCATTATTATATCTATTAGTGATTATTAGAACTTACTGTGAATGATTGAAGAGGATTGGCATTCTTAGCATTTGATAATTTAAGAAATTAAAACTAAAATACTAATTGAACAGCTTAATTTATTTTATGTATAAGATCCACATTACAAGCGAATTATTGAATAGTCCCTCTTATTTTATATATATTAGTCATTTTACCAATTAAATAGATGAAATTCGATTATAATTCAATTCCAAGGTACCACCAGTCCACGATATTATTGAACTCCATATACCATATGTCCATATAAGGTTATGTCTTATGTACAAAAGTTTTAAAGATGTTGCGAGTAGTTAATAATATTTATTTTGGTACTTAATATTACTGTATTAAAAAAATAAAAATAAAAAATCCATGATGATATACACTACATATTCTATAAATTAACAAATAATAGTATTAATATACACTCGGGTGCATATAGAGGTAGGTGCACCAAAATGTGTTTTTTTGCTCATTTGATATAATTTTGCTCATTTTAGATTTTAAAATAAGAAAAAATATATATCAAATTAGTAATATACACTTGGGTACACCTTAGAGGCTTACACCCAGGTGTATATAAAAGTTTTCTAATAGAATGAGATCGTAGAAGTTGGTTTAAATTAGGGATTTGAAGTGATTATATGAATATCATATTGAGTACAATAGAGCAACAATGAATAATTATATAATTAGCTATGACACAATACATAAATGAACTTGATCGAGCTTTTTTTTTTATTTTTTTTTAATATGAATTATCTTGAAAGGTAGTACAGTGTAGCTATAATTGTACTAACAATTTGGTACGTACAAGAACAACAAATGTTTCAGATTGATGTACAAAATAAGGGAGTACGTAGTCGCTTACGTTTTCATGAACTCGTCACCCTCCTTAAAGGCTTAAAGGAAATACAGAACCAATAATCATGAAAAAGATTAACTCTAAGATACTAATTGTAATGTGAAATTATGACATGCAATATTGTTTCCTTTGTACTGGAATAACTTGTAGAGGTTTAACCTTTTGCAAAGTGATACCAAATTTCTCATCCATGTCCAAGTCTTTTGGATTCATTCCATCTTCAAGTTTCCAATCAAAGGAATGAACAAAATAAGCCATCATTAAGTTCAACATTCTATAAGCCAAAGTTAATCCAGGGCATATCCTTCTTCCGGCACCAAAGGGCAAGAGTTCAAAATCTCGTCCCTTAAAATCAATGTCACACCCTATAAACCTTTCAGGTGAAAATATTTCTGGATTTTTCCATACCTTTGGATCGCGACCAATGGCCCAAAGATTTACTAGAACTTGTGCATTTTTGGGTACGACGTAACCATATAACTCTACATCAACGTCTGCTTTTCGAGGTAAGAGAAATACGGTTGGAGGGTGCAATCGCAATGTTTCTTTAATGATGGCTTGCAAGTAAGGTAGTTTTGAGATATCAGATTCTTGGACCATGGAGCAACCTTTGCCAATGGCTAGTTCGATTTCATTTTGAACTCTAATCATCATCCCAGGATTTTTAACAAGCTCAGCCATTGCCCACTCTAATGTGCTAGCTGTAGTATCTGTTCCGGCATCAAAGATGTCCTACATGACATAATCATTTAGCAATTGTTAGCTTATAGCTAGGTAGGTAGCAAATTATCTTTACAAAAATTAAAGCTCATAATTAACGAATATAATTAGTGCATACTTTATTTCGTTTTTTTTTTTTTTTTTTTTATACACTACTTCTATTTCTTATTAGTTTGCAATATAGAAGTATTATTTATGAGACATAAAAAATTTCTTTATTGCAAATAATAAGGAATTGAGCTAGTATTGTAACTTTTGAGCTAGTACTATATATATCACATATTCACTTTTAATATAGTTTATGATTTAAATACAAAGTAAATATACAATTATGTGAATTCTTGCTAGATTTATCTCGATACACGTAATATTTTTCAAAATTTCAATTTCCATACGTAATTGATTAATCGATATAATTAGTAGTTAAAGAAACTTATAAACTTTAGACTCCATAATAGCTTTAGAGAACAGGTCACTACCCAATTAATGTTGAAAAACACCTTTAACAAGCAAATTAATTAGTAGTGATTTATTATTGTAGGGAAATAATAGCAATAAGTACTGATTTATCTAGTTGCCTAAAGTTGGTTTCATATGTGTCCTGTGTCTTTTTATTGCCGACTTAATTCTGTAACGGAGTACTCCATAGTATTGTACGGAGTACATGATCATTAATTTCAAAACCTTGAGTACGTAATAAAATATCATACCTTAAACTAGATTAAATCTTAAATTAATATTCACCTACCATTGCAAACCGAAAATAACTGTCATTCAAGTTGACTAATTAAAATATAGTATAGCCGTATATTTTCAATTATTTCACTATTTATACTTTGTAAATATATTAAAAACTATAATTAGTAATTAGTGAAATAGAATTACTTACCACAAGAAGATGATTAATCTCACCCATACTCAACTCATTTTCATCGTAGAGGTTGAGAAGTGTGTCTAAAATATCACCCGTTTGTTTTTCACTTGAAACTTTGGTTGATCGAATTTTTTGTCTTTCACAAATTATGTCTTGAAAAACAGCAATGAGTTTATCAAAGTAACCAGCCAAACGACGCCTTATTCCGAATGGATCAACGTAGCCAAGAATGGGAAAAAAATCGGCGTAATTTGGTTTACCAATTTCCTCCATTATGTTCCACATGAGTTGCTTAAACTCTTGTGAATTATTAGACTCATGGCTTGCCAATTCCGTTGAAAAAAATGTGTTTGATAACAAGTTTAGAGAAGTTGTAAACGCGGCCCTCCCTATATCAACGGGTTGGCCTTTCTTAGAACAATCTTGCACGTATGCAAGAAGTTGTTCGACCTTGGCTTGTCTATGGGCTTGGCTAGCATCAAGTCGTTGATTAGAGAGAAGTTGCACGGCGGAGATCTTTCTAAGATTCCTCCATTTAGCTGATATGGGCAACCACGACATAGAGAGCTTGTCATGGTCTCCTGCCCTAACAGAATCAGGAATGGTTCGATTAGCAAGTGCCTGGTCATTTTTAAGAAACATTTCTTTGGCTACATCAGCTGAAGACACTACAATAGTTGTGATACTTCCTAACTGTAAGCTCACCAAAGGCCCGTGAATCTTAGCAAGATTTGCAAATGATCGATGAGGCTTCTCCCCAAGATCGAAAATATTGCCAAAGATTGGCATTCTTTTAGGCCCGGGTGGGAGTTTATTGGACTTTGTAGAGTGGCTAACAAATGATCGAACCAAATGAAAGCAAATAAACAAAATTGAAAGTATCAATGCAAGTATTGTATGTTCCATGGTTTAAGAATGGAACAAAAAATGAAATAGGCAAGCTAAGGCTAGATGGTTTAAGGTGTGTGTTTATGTATGTAAAAATTATGCTTTGATGAGTTGTTATGATTCCATGCTTAAAACCTACTATATATATACAGCCCAATTGAGAAAAATTGGTGGTTAATTAAAAAAAAATGAAATATTAATAAATATTCGCATAACACCTGGAATCATAAGATATTATGAGAGGTATGTACCAAATTAAATTAAATATATACAAGTATATAGTTAGATATAAATTCTCGTTCAACACATTAAGTGGACCAAGTTAGGTCAATTCCATAAAAGCTACTAATTAAGTAATCGTATATCACTACTTATTGTATACTTTATAAAAAAGAAAAAAAACAGTTAATTGTATACCGTACTTAGTATTAAATAATGTAAAGACGTTAAAGGTGTTCTAGCTTATATAATTAACCATGATGCTCGATCTATTATATCACATGATTTAAAAGTTGTTGTGTGAAAGCTAGGAAATAACCAAAGAACGTCAACGTATTAGCTGACCTCACACATGCACCATTAATTGACTTGATGATGGAAACAAAATTATATAGAGTACATTGTCTTATACGGAGTAGTAATTGTCATCATAGTATTAATGTGCAGTGTTATACTCTATATCTTGGTTCACTTCGAAATAAGTTGTCATATTTGTTATATTGTCGTCAAGCATAAGTTCTTATATTTAGGCTTTAATTTTGAAATTATGTACATAATATGATAAAATTACAAGTTGATTTTGTAAGTAATGTTTAATATATATACTTACTTTTAGCTTAGGGTTGCATATATACCTAATGTGGTGTAACTGAATAGTCATCATATATGTAGATGTCAATTAAATATTTAGGTAATAGTCAACAAAATTCTTGTAGGCGGTATCCAAAACCACATTTGCTATATCTCAGTTATTCTGACGGGTGTATCACATATTCATATTACATCTACCCCATTACCTTATGTGGCTATCTGTACACTAAAAGTAATGCAGTATTAGTCAATAGTCATCATAATTTTAATAAAATATTCTTTACTGTGATAGTAGTCTCTTTTTGTCATCAAAATTGGTTCTTTAAGTATATGTACAACTTATGTGACAACACAAACCTCCAAAAAAACCAATGCCTAAAGTAGCTTAACTAGCCTGGCCTTTATAGTTTATATTTTATCACCTTCATATAAATGAAAGTAAAGTATTTTCCTAATATTAATCCAATTAGTGCATGTCCATATTAGAATAAGGTTACCTGTTGACAACAAATGTGAAAGTCTATCTTATCTAATAACCATTGTAAATTTGTAGCCTTGTATCTCCATTAAGGTATTAATAATAATGTCTTAATTAAAGTTCAGTTAATCAAATAATAATCCAATAATCCCACTCTTCGTCAATGTTATTCGGTCAAATATAAGAGCCTCAAAATGACTAGAATATGATCTTGTACAGAAGAGGTCAAGTTGTATACTTAGCTTCCACTTTGAGTTTAATAAGACTATAAGAGTGAATAATATTTAAAACTTCCAATTTGTATGTTTTTAGACTCCCTAGTCTCCCTTAGTATTTAATTTAATTCCGAAAAATTCAAAACAAAATAAATTATAGAGATAAAGGAAATAAAAACACGTTTAAAACAAATGTTAGACAACTTATCTAGGCATACATACAGTCTCTTACATTATTTAGAAGCAGAGGGAGTAAAATAAGTGACATTCCTCTTTGGCTCTTTGTATTAAACTTACCATTTTTGTCTATCCATTTATGTCATTATCAAATTTATTGAGTGAAAAAAAAAACAAAAAACAAAAAAAAAACAAAACTTTAAAATCATAAGAATATCTTCCCTAAAAAAAACACAATTAGTCATAAGAATATCTTAGTGTGGATGAGAATATATGTGGTTTTATATGACAACTTAGTATTGACTTTTCAAGTTTTTTATGGCCATGTTGTACATTACAGACTCGTTCTTTTCAGCTTCTTTCTAATACTTGGCTTAATACTTATTCTTATCAAAATTAGATCAGATAATCAGTTCTGTTCAGAAATTTTGAAATCAGACTAGATCAAAACTTTTACTCATTGCTACATATAGAAACCTTGTACCTTTTATTGCGTATTAAGAGAATTTATGAAAATTACAAAAAAAAAATTTAAAGTGTACAATTAGACAAATCTAACAAGATTCGATATAGTTTTTTTATTTTTATTTTTATTTTTTTTTACCGTTAATGTGTAGTTAATTTATATTAAACCTGACATGAAAAATTCATACAACACCAAACTAAATCTTTTTAAAACCAAACCAAACTAAAAGTAATTAATTCTGATAAATAACTTGTATTAAAACCCAAATACTCGGTAGCTAAAAGAAAATTTAAACAAAAAATAATCTTAAAACAGTCAACCTACTATCTGTTTGACTTAAAATCGGCCCTATTTTTATCAATCCTTCGTTTAAAACAAGATTTATTAGTATGATATACATTTATACTTGTATTATATTGTTGTATAGTTGTACTACGTATATGCTTACTCGGTTTAGGCATCGATGCACATGCACGTTTACATCCGCACATGTAATTTCTATGTTTGCCAAAATTTAATTCGATAAGAAATTTCGTCTTCAAATAAAAGATGTAAGATTGATGATTGGTTTTTTGGTGTTTAGAGAGCCACACGAGTAGGTGATGAAAATCGATTCTTAGATCCTCTAAAACCGAGAGAGAAGTTCTAATCACCTAGTTATCTTTCACTCTCAAAACTGATGATTAGTTAATTGCATACTTACATTGGCAGGAAGAAATCATACATTCACACTCAGATACTCTGCATATATAACCAGAATGCATAATTGATCACTTTTTTAATATATGCAAGGATAATTAATTAACTACGAACATTTGTTTTCGTATTGATTTAGTTTAACTTTTGGAAATTATTCTTGAATTGATGACTAAACCATACCATCTGGATTCCGGGCCTATAAGGCAGCAGTTGATGCGATTTGCATATGGACTAAGTGGTATGTTAATGGCCCATCTAGAATTATTATTGTTGTATTGGGTCATGGTCTCCTTTGGGCTTTATTAAACGGGCTAGGTTAGTGTTAAGGACTTGAATTAAGGTCCTCTAACCTATTTAACTCTGAACACAAAGACACAAAACATTTATCAGCTCTACTTCTAGTCTAGCTAAAATATTCATGTTTCTCACGTGTCAAGTTTCATATCATAGATATATAGAAACATTCAAATAATATATGATATATGTTATATATCAAATTCTATTTGATTGAAATATTTAATCCTAATTGCAAAGAATAAAAAGATTAATGTGTGATTTCCACATATATATCAAACAGTGATATGTATGTACCAGATATCAATAACACTAAACTTATACACACAATGCCCCATATGAAGATACGTTCAACTGGTCTCGGCTTAGAATTGGTGCTTGAAATCTTCAAGTAACATAAGCATGGGATTGTAAGCGCTGCAGAGGTGCAAAGCAATGCTCCCATGAGAGACAATAGGTAGCCGAAGAACGGAAAAGCCAATGCTATAACTACTTGTGTAGCAACCAAGGTCAATCTAACAATATAGTTGAACCATCTAGTTTGGTAACGCCTAGGAAACCAACCTTCAGTCGAAATTACGACAGGCTTCAATAATAGTGCATATTTCACCAAAGGAGTGATCAATGTAGTGTAAATTGCAACATTAGAGCTCAGTTTTCTCGTTGGAAGGTTCAAAGTTATTTGTGATTCGACACTTGAACCAAACATCAAGCATCCTAACACGGCCATTGAGACATAGATAAAGGTTGAGAATGCGAAGCTCATGAATAAAGCCTTGGAGAAATGATGTTTTTTCTGCATTGAGGTATAAACTGCAGGAAAAACTGTTTGACCACTATAACATAACATGTATAAGCTAGCCGCCGTTGTTATTCCTTTCCAATCGAAGAGGGGAACTTGATTTTCTACTTGAGGGAATTCAATGCCATCAAAAACTCCAACACATAAAATTGATCCGAGTATTATAAGACTAGCTAAAACACCGGCAGCAGAAATGTAAGCCAAAATGCTTAGGCTATCCAATAAAACTGTTGGGAGAAGAACGAGCGCGATGATTATAATGAAGCATGAATTGCCTTCGATTGTTATTCCAAATGCACCAATTGAAAATTCCGGGAATAATTTGTGTAGATTATCTCCTTCCGAGATTAAGTAACTTGTTGTAGCCATATATAGATCTCCGTAAAGAACAATCGATACAATTATGTTACCAACATTTCCAAAAGCGTACTCACCTACCTGTGAATAAGTTTTGATACTTGGATCTACTTCCATGCATCGTTTTAGTAGCAAGCTCGTGTAGGTAGCTACCCCGGCTATGGCGAAAAGCACGATTAAGCTTAACCAACCTCCATGAGCTAATGCATAGGCGACTATCAAAACTCCATTGCCTAATAAAAAGGAACAAAATAACTTAAAACGGTTATGGTTAAATACCTTAAAAAGCTTAAAATGTTGTGAGCATGGTTACATCATTTGTTATCCGATATGATTGTGAGCATGATTAATCGTACCAAATGCTTTTTTTTTCCCCTTGTGTATCTTATTATGAATAATACTAATAATAATTCTCCGACAAAGATAATTTACTATCTCAACCTCTTTTACATCCACACTTTTTTTCCTTACTTTAAGTCTGTTCACATTTACTGGACTGAATTGATTGGAGTTGAACTGAACTGATTAAAGCTGAATTGAATAGAGATGAAATGAATATTTTATGAGAGAAGGAAATTCGGAGCTGAACTAAACTAAACTGATAGGAGTGAACTGAATTTAAGTGAAGTGAACTGAACTGATTAGAGCTAAACAGAACTGGACTGAAATAAACTGAAATTAAACTGAAGTGAACCGGCCCTTTATCTATATATATAACACTTTTTTTCTAAACCACATTTTATTCACCTAACTCATTTTAATTATCCACCTCCTTTTTAGTTGAATCAATCCATTTAATATTCACTAAAACAAGCTAGAGTTGTGTAAGTGGGCATATATCTATCAGGCATGACATGCAACCAAAATTAAAATAAAATAACATACACCGGAAGTAGTAGTAGATAGAGCTACAAGATAGCTAAGCTAGCTAGATAGTTATTATTACATATTAATCACCTAATCTCCACTTAACTAAATTAACTTTGAACTAAATAAAACTCATTATAATTGTCTACATAGAGTGTGGATAACACTCATTAACTCTTATTGAGTATAATATATACGGAGAAAGAGTAATAACTCTTGGATGAGTTTTAAAACGAGATCTAAGCTTATTTTTTCAAGGAGGCACGAGGATGCGATGAACTAAAATTTAATCCCAAATTTTGAGTTATAATTTTAAATATTTTCTCCCTTATTACGTTATTAGAGATTTTACATTAACTAGAATTGCATCAATATTCAATAGTTTTAATCGATTTTAAGATTTATATAGCCAAAAAAAAAAAAGCAATAATAAATAGTAATGATACTTAATCTGTTCATTTTTCTTCTTTTTAAAGTGACTTAAAGTACCTTTACAAAAAAAAAAAACCTCAAACATAAATAACAATAAGGATCGAACCGAAAAGTGTGAACCGAAAATGAAATAAAAGGGAAAATTTTTTTAAAAAAAAAAAAACCAACCTAGTATGACGTTGATGCCATTAAAAACAGTCTTCAAGAAAGAAGTGTTGGATTCTTCAAGTGAAGATTCATTATTGTTGGCCTCTAACTCTAGTAATGGTTGTGTAAGAGAGGATTTCATTTTGCTCTTACTCTCCATCCTCTCTTAGTATTATGGAAACAAAAAAAGAAAAAAAATGTTGTCGAGTGGATTTTTTTTCTTTCTTGCTTGATTCATAAATTAAAAGAGTGTTGTCGCTATTTCTAAAGACATTAATACCCTATTGTGACGTTGACAAATATTTTCAAATAACAAGTTTAATTTGAGGATCACGTAACTGTGTTATGCACCACTTATTTTTAATCTAAAACAGGAAAAGGTACGTCCATTAAAAATAGTCACTAATTAATGTGCTAATGCACAATAATTACATAAATATTTAGATAATTTTTTATTTAACTTTTGATACAATGTTAGTATGTTACAATCCCACTTATATATAAGGGCTAAAGTAAAACATTTATCATGAGATAATATTTAATTTCTAGTTATCAACTTAAACTTTGTTGTTTTTACCTTATTTTTATTAGAATAATCTTCATAATTTATCATCACTTTTGTATCTTAATTTAATACTCAGCATGGATGGTAACAAGGTGGTGGTAGGTAGATCTTTCTTCTGCATCACTACAACCCTTGTAGTTCTCTTTACACCAGGACAAAAAATATTAGTAATACTCGATCTTTTTATTAACACCTTTTCACTCACCATCTTCAACCACTTAGGGGACTAATTAAGAGTCACAAGAGAGCTCATTCAGTTTCATTGTCATATGGATTAGTATATGCACTCAAGTACGCTTAAAGAAGCATATAGTAGTATACATTTAAGCATCTAACAAGCAAGGAGTACCAATACTTTAAAAAAGAAAAAAGAAAAAAGCCGTGTGACACAAAATTGCATACAACGTTATTGTGTGATTTCCACCAATATATCTAATATTGATGTGTATGTGCCGGATATCAATAAAACTAAACTTAGGCATACAATGCACCATATGAAGAAGCGCTCAGCTGGTCTCGATTTAGAAGTGGTGCTTGAAATCTTCAAGTAGCACAAGCATGGAATTGTAAGTGCAGCAACGGAGCAAAGCAATGCTCCCATAAGTGACATGAGATATCCGAAAAAAGGCAGCGCCAAAGCTATGACTACTTGCGTAGCAACCAAGGTCAATCTAACAATATATTTGAACCACCTACCATTATGGTATTTGCTAGGAAACCAACCTTCTGTTGAAACTACGACAGGCTTCAATATTAGTGCATACTTCACTAAAGGAGTGATCAATGTAGTGTAGATTGCAACTTCAGAGCTCAGTTTTCTCGTTGGAAGGTTCAAAGTTATTTGTGATTCGACACTTGACCCAAACATCAAGCACCCTAACACAGCCATTGAAACATAGACAAAGGCAGAGAATGTGAAGCTCAAGAGTAAAGCCGTAGAGAAATGATGTTTCTTTTGCATAGAGATATAAACAGTAGGAATAACTGTCTGACCACTAAAACAAAACATGTATAAGCTGATCGCCGTTGGAATTCCTTTCCAATTGAAGAGGGGAACATGATCTTTTACTTGGTGAAATCCAATTATTCCTTCGAAAACTCCAACCCATAAAACAGATCCAAGGATTAAAAGACTAGCTAAAACACCAACCGCAGAAATGTAAGCCAAAATGCTTAGACTATCCAACAAAACAGTTGGGAGAAGAATTAGAGCAACGATTACTATGAAGCATGATTTGCCATCGATTGGGATTCCAAATACTCCAACTGAAAATCCAGGGAATAGCTTGTTTAGATTATCTCCTTCCGAGATTAAGTAACTTGTAGTAACCATATAAAGTTCAACATAAAGAACGATTGATACGATCACTTTACCAGCATTACCAAAAGCATACTCGCCTATGTGAGAATAAGTCCTGATCCTTGGATCTACGTCCATACACCATTTAAGTAGCAAGCTCGTGTAGGTAGCTACCGCGGCTATGGCAATAAACAAGATTAAGCTTAACCAACCTCCGTGAGCTAATGCATAAGGGACTATCAAAATTCCATTGCCTGTTCATGATATGAAAGTATATTCATCAGTCTCATCTTGTAATATATACACAAACTTAAGCTGCCCTTTTTATATAGAAAAAAAAGCAATAAAATCATTAAAAATAGAAAATGTTGATTAGAAAGGAAAGAGAAATTTAAGAACAAACCTAATATGACGTTGATGCCATTAAAAACAGTCTTCAAGAAAGAAGTGTTGGATTCTTTAAGTGAAGATTCTTTGTTGTTGTCCTCCAACTCCAATAATGGCTGTGTAAGAGAGAATTTCGTTATGCGCTACTTAGTCACTTACATTCTCCATCCACACTTTATATTATCAAATCGAAAATGCATGTCCTGATCATCTTTAAAATTTGAATTGCACGTCTAATATGAATGCATATCCATCTTCTCATCCAAATAGTCGCACTAATTAAGCTAGTAGATTCATAGACTTGGCAATCTTGACTCAACCCAATTGGCCCGACCCAACCCGACCCGACCCAAAAACGTCAACGCGAAATAGACCCGAATACAAACTGACCTGACTTGACCAATACCCGATCTAAAGTGGAGTTCGTTGACCTGAACTTGACCCAGTACCCGAATTGACCTTACCCGAAGTTGACCCGATATCCGAATCGACTCGACCCAAAGTGACCCGACCCGATCTTAACTCGAATTGATTGACCCGAAGCGATCCAAACTATACCCAAAATGACTTGGCCCAAAATTAACTGATACTCAAAATGACCTAACTGATTTAGAGCTTAATTACTTCACCCGATCGATTAAATGCTTATCAAAACTAACCTAAGCAATACAGGTTTGTGCAGTTGTGTGTATAGTACTGTTGAAAAGTGCGTGAAATAATTTTGTACTCGTGATTCATAAACAGTTCCACTTGATTAGGAACACTTGTTATTGTTATTATTACTATTACTCTTTTTTTTTTTCTAAGTGTTACATTGCAAATTTTCAACTATTCAAAATTCACATTAGTTTTTTTTTTTTTGTTTTTTTTTTCAATTCGAAAAAAAGTTAATTTGATTTTTTGACCAATTAGTCAATTATAGTTATTGTACATATGAAACAATATAATCTTGTTATCTTGTGTGTATAGCACTAGACCTAGAAAACAGGTCATTCAGGTCGGGTTCGAGTCCGGTCAAGTTCGGGTCAGCAAATGCTCGGGTCGGGTTCGGGTTGAGTTGGGTCGATTCGGGTTTCGAGTTAAAATCAAGTCAGCACCTCGGGTCAAGTTCGGGTTGGGTCAGGTCAAGTTCGGGTAGTGTCAATTCAGGTCGGGTCTGTTCGGGTCGGGTCAATTTTTAAGATCAATTTTCAGGTCAATTTTGGGTCGGGTCAAATTCGGATCGAGTCAATTCGGGTAGGGTCTATTCGAGTCAAGTTTGTGTCGGGTCATCAAAATAAATTCATTTTAAAATAATAGTTGGAAAAATAAAGTAAAACCGCTAAAAAAATATAAAAATCATGAGTACTATTACGTAGGAAATAAAGAAGCACTAAATTAAGTAATTCACTATTTCACCCTATTCACTTAGGATTCGGGTCATTTCGGGTCGGGTCACTAGTCACTACGGGTCAATCAATTTGGGTTAAAATTGGGTCGGGTCAAATTCGGGTTTCGGGTCAATTTCGGGTCAGGTCATTTGGGTCAATTTCGGGTCAGGTCATTTGGGTCAATTTCGGGTCAGGTCACTTTGGGTCATCAGGTCATGTTCGGGTCAACTCTATTTCGGGTCGGGTTAGTTCGGGATTGAGTCATTTTCGGGTCAACTTTCGGATTACGGGTCAACTCATTCGGGTCGGGTCAATCAGGTCGGGTTAGGATTGCCAGGTCTATATAGCACTGTTAGAATTGTCATCTAATGAATACTTTAATTTATTAACACTAGGCTAACGTGCGCATTCTCAATTGTTATACTTTATACTTATTTTCCAGATAACTATAATATATTATTGGTCTGAGTGACCCGTTTGTCAGGTTTACTAAATATATAGTATAAAAATTACCCTTTTTAAAAAAAATGAAAATACAAATGAATTACCTAAGTTTAGAATAACTACTCTAAAACCTCTCATATAAGTTAACAAGATATGAGTTAGCAAGTTAGAAATTTTGAATGGAGTAGTGGGTGGGGGGGGGGAGGTGGGGGGGAGAGAGTAACATAATCTTTACTCTCAAAGTGCTCCTACTGAAAATAGAACTCTTAAATTCAAGATTAAAAGTCATTTCCTTACCACTAAATCAACTAATATAACACCTGTACTTTGAAGTATTTGTTAGCTATTAATTAATACATTCTTATGAATAACTAACAAGTCTATTGCGAGAGATTATTTTAAATTGACAATAGATATTTGCTCGCTACATGCATAATATGAATATAAAAGAAGTCAGATAATATAAAATGAAGAGCGAGAGAATGTATGTAGTATATACCTGGTATTCGAAACTTGGCATGTCTAAAATTGTGGTTTTTGGTTGAACTTTGTTTAGCCAACCAAGCTTTGAGGATAAGATAGAGCACATTGGTAGCTTGGAAAGTTGGGGTTCTTCTTCAAGATGTGTTTCTTATTTATACTTACTACTCATCATGGAACAAAGATTAAATTAAAGTGCGTCAAGTGTTAAGAGTTTCAGCACGTGCTTAATATTTAACAGTTTGATATAATATTATAATTGCGAAGTAATTTTTTATTTAGGTGATACTATATATAATGATTGGGTTACAAGTATAGAACTTGAAATGACTCGAGCTATTCCTATCGACATTTGTGTGGTGCCATTCAATTAACGGGATTACTCAAGTCACAGCCACACCAATTGTTTGTTTGTTTTTTTTGCTAATAAGGGATGGGTGGTTGAAATTGGTGCTTCTTGTTTATACAGGGAAACCTATGTAAACACTATGATACTTCTTCCGTTTTTATTAAGTTTACGCGTTTAATTTAGGTACGTATTTTAAAGAGAGGAGAAAGAATGATAAAACATGTGGCATAGACTAAATGCAAATTATAAAACTTAACAAAAAAGAAAAGGTGTTAGTTGGTCACCCACCTTGACAGGTGGCACGCACACTCTACATTAGTATGATATTGTCCGCGTTGGGACTAGCCCGCACGGATTTATTTTGGGTCACCTTTTCAATAGGCCTTATACTATTTGGAGTATTCACTCACTTATAAGGAAGTCCTCTCTTCCTTATTTCCTCCATGTGGGACTTAGGGTCTGTTCTCTTCAGCTTATTTTCAGTTTAGTTCCTTTCAATTCAACTCAAATAAGTTCAGTTCAATTCAGTTCTTAATTTCATTCTCTCATAAAATATTCAATTCGATTCAGCTGCAATAAATTCAGTTTAGTAAATCAAAACAAGCAACAGTATCATGTATTAGTGTACTACAGTAATATGAAGTTGTGCGGAAGGATGGAGTACGTAGCATCAAGTAGACAAGTACCAAACAAAATATATTAGAGGCCGGATGTCTCACATGAATGGTAAGACTTCTTTTTTTTATTATTATTTTTTACTTCTAATTTTTGAGGTTCGACTCTCGTTCAGTAATATTGCTTTAAGGCTTTGCACCAATTGAATATTGAAAATTAATTTTGCTCTTGTATGTATTTTTATGAAGAATTTAGATTCTATATAGGACATAAGGATTCAATGTACACATATACGTGTAGTAAAGTCTTACAATTTAAAGGATTTTTTTATCATTTATGATGAGCGTTATTTATGGCGTTCAAAAGAATAAGATTTAGGTTCATTTTCTATATTTTCAAATAATTTTCTTAGTTTTATTTGGTTTCCCGTTTTAATAACTTTTTTCGGTTTTCGTTTAGTTTTTACGAGTTCTTCTTATTTTTAGTTCTTAATTCGTAGCTTTAGTTAGTTTTATTTTATTTTGTTTTCTTCTTTTAATTGGTGTTTTGTGTAGGTGGTTGTTCGGGGTCAATATACCACTGAGGTTAATATTAATTCACCATATACCATCAAAAACTTTCAAATTCACTGTATAACCTTCAGTTTTATGAAAAATGTCTCAACATGCGTGCCCTTTTCGTTAACTCGGTTATTCATTAACGTTAATTGTGCCACGTTAAATAGGCAATCGTATATCAAATCCTACAAGTTTAGGAGTCGAAGACTTTCTTTCAAACTAAGGGTTTTGAATAATGTCTATGTGTACTCAAATACGAGTAATTAAATAACAATGAAACTATAAAATTAAAGTACTCACCCGATTGTGAACATTTATAGCAGCAAATGTTTCATGGGTGGATGGATTTAAGTTACACGATAATGCCTTTGAGGAATTAATTAATACTTTGTAATTAATTTATAAGTAGTCAATAATGTAAGAATTTTTAAAACATATAAGGATATATATTACGAAAGGAACCCGAGCATCGTTTGGGGTACATACTATTGTACTAGTGATAGATATTCTAGTAATTAAAATATTTGTAAATATGTTTTGAGATTTCCTAACATTATTAGCCCTCATATTTGCAACATTTTATACACGTATTAATGGAATACACTCGAATTTGAAAAGTTTTACATAATGTAACATGATATCACAACTTTAGTTTTTTGGATCTAGCTTCGCAATTTTATTTTATCTTTTAAGTTTTTCACCCAGTGGATTTTTTTTTTCCCGTTGAGTTTACCAATTTCTTCTTTCCATGGCACCAAATTAATTCGGCCCACCCACTTTCTGTCCACTCTTTAAAATTAATTGGTTTACCAATTAGTTCTCTGTTCTTTATTCACCTTTTACAATTAATTTGGTGTACCTAATTTCTTGCTGCCATCATGGGTAAAGATGGTGATCCTTTTTCTTCCGACTTTCACCCCTGCTCTAGGTTACTACTTACTAGGTGTTAATAATATCAAGAATGTTATTCCTCTTATTCTTGATCGAAAAAACGTACGATATTCAAATTGGGTAGAATTACTTTGAATGTCATGTGCACTCCTTTAATGTGCTTGATCATATTGACCCTAAAACGCCTAAGTTGTCGGACTTATCAGATACTATGTGGAAACGTCTTGATTCCGTTGTCAAGAACTGGATCTATGGTACAATTTCTACGGATTTGCTTGAAACAATTCTATGCAAAGGGGATACGGCTCAGCAGATTTTGAACAAACTCAAGGCCATATTTCAAGAGCCGTTTATCTTGAATATCAATTTAATGCCCTGCATCTCTATAATTTTACACAAATATCTTCGTATTGTCGTCAACAAAAAAACTTAAAGGATCAACTTGCCAATGTTGATCAACCCGTATCGAAACAAAAGTTGGTTATTCATTTGGTTTCAGGCGTTGCAAACACCGACTTCGATACCGTGGTTGCTATGATTCAACAAACAGAGCCCTTACCTTCGTTTGAAACGGCCCCATCTCGGCTCTTACTTGAGGAATCTTGTCGTGCCAACGACACTAGTGTCACACCTTCATCTTTTGTGGCACAAACCAACAGCCTTGCTCAACCTGCCACCACACCTTCCACTCAACATTAGCAGACCCAGTCAGCCGGTCGTGGTGGTGGCTATGTTGGTTGTGACCGAGGGCGTGGCCGTGGGCGAAGCAAAGGGCATGGTAGAGGACAACAGCTCCAACAACAAGGAGTAGGGGTGAGCAAAAATTCCGGGTACCCGGAATTGAAACCTAAACTGATTAGGATCTGGCGGGTCCGAAACCGAAATTGGACCCGGTGGTTCCAATTCCTGGTAATAAATTAAGGACCGGTTATAACCAATTCCAATTCTCAAATTTTTTGAACTGGAACCGGTTGGGTACCCGATTACCTAATATATGCTAAACTAAATAAATTTTAAATAATTAAAATATGTTGAATGTATCTAATTTGTAAATTAAAAAAGTATTATTCATACCTAACATAAATACAAATAGCTTAATGCATATATAAATATAAGTATTAAACGCTAAAAATGAACCTAACTAAAATAAGAATTATAATTTGTATTATATTTTAACAATTACATACATAAGTGGATACCCGAAATCGGAACCTGTACACGATGGTTCTAATACCAATTCCTAAAATTTAGGACCCGGTTGAACCAATTCCAATTTCGAATTCGAATTGTAGGACCCGGTTCCAACCAATTCCAAGTCCGGGTCCTAAAATTTTGACTGGGTACCCGGTTTGCTCACCCCAAACAAGGGGTACCACAATGGGGTCACTCTAGGCAGCACCGCCACAACAACCTCAAGCCTAACAACCATGTCCATATCCCCAACATCAGTGGGCTAGTGATATGTCCATTTTATATAATGTTTTACCCCCGTCCCTTGGTCGTTATTAGTAGTGTTTTTGGCTTTTTCGGGCCACTTTTATTACTAATTTGTGTGTTCTAGTGTTTTCGTAGTTTTAGTTGTATTTTACAGGAAATTGCACTCTTGGAGCATTTTCCCGAGCTTTATGGATCAACTACGGAAGCTGGAAGGAGGCGACCACTTTTGGAGCTCAGGATCGGTGAGAGCCGGTGATTAAGGGCTCGGTAATTGGGATCCCGAGGCATTTGGACCAAGTATTCGAGACCCGAGAGGAAATCCGGATTGGGCCGAGAAATCTAGCCCAATCGAAGTCCAAGCCTCAAGGGGAGCAAAGACCCGATCGGGCAACCTCTAGCCCGATCGGGCGCGGCAAACCATAGTGCTGTGCATGCTAAGGCGCGCCCGATCGTGCGAGCATCTAGCACGATCAGGCGATGCTGCTTGGGAAGAACGCGAAGAAAAAGGCGCGCCCGATCGGGCGCGCATTTTTAGAAGACCTGATTAAGTTAGTTTTAATTCTTGTTTTAGAAAATGTTTAAATACGATTTTGTACGGAATTATTAGATTACCTTCTTTCTTAGACTTTCTCTCTCTACTTAGTATTTCTCTCTCTCTCTTAATTACTCTATTAATTCCAGATTTCTTTTTGGTAACAATTTCTTCTCTCTTAATTTCAGCTATTTTACTTGCTTCTTTGATTATGCCTTTATTTGGTTATTTGATTAGTTTAGTTATGATGATGCGTGAGTAATTTCATTCTAGGGTTTATGGGGATCCATAATTAATATGAAGGGATAGTTTGTTATTATTGATTATTGATATTGCATGATAATTTCTTATTGAATTGTTTTAATTCTTTGCAATTAGATTATGAATCGAGCAGATGTAATTTGATTGTGAATGTTTAGCTATGTTGAATTGATGAATCGAGCATATGTTAATTTAATATCAAAGGCTATTTTCAATAAGAACTTAGATCTAGTAAATTGCGAGAGCCTGTTAGATCTATGTTGATTAGTAAATTGCGAGAGCCTGTTAATCATGTTATTTGTGCATTGTTAATTATTAATTACTTCGTTCTATCCCGGAATATTAATTGTTGGTGAACCTGTGACCCTAGGCTTCCTTATTATTGTTTCTTTTCTCCATAAACTTATTCTTCGTAGTATAGAATTTATTCCCTAAAATATTGGTTACTGAGATAATTTAGACTATAATAATTAATTAGGAGTGAAAAGACTTGTTTCCCTGTGGAGTTCGACCCTACTTCCCTAGCTACTTTAGTTAGAGGACTTAGGTTTTTACTTTTGATTAGGGGATACGACTTTACCCTGTCAGCTAGTCAACGCCCCTCATATCCTGCTCCACCAGGCATTAG